CCGAAGAGTTTGACATGGTCAACGGGCTCGTGAATATGGGTTACTTTAGTGGGCATGGGGTGGCTGAAGCTGTTGGCTGTGTCATCTATGACAAAATAGGATACGAAGCAGCTTACGGATTCACTACGGTCGTTGCACTTCTTGCAGCAACAAGTTCCTTTTTCTTCATACCTAAATCAAGATCATACTTGTCCACTGGAGATGACATATCGGATGATGATCTAACGATGTTAAAAATAGGATCGAACAAAAATAAGCTCACAAAGTTATTAATAATTCCAATGATAGCTACAATGCTCATTAATGCAAACTATGGAGTAATTCAAGTACGGATTTATCATTTTCGTAAACATTAATGCAAAAATAATATTATACAACAATAATCAATGATCACAATTTCTAGTTATATATTTAAACTACATCTCTCACCCCTCCGTTGCAAGATCCTTCAAAGCTTCAACATTGACGTTTTCTTCAGGTCACAGTAACCCCCTTTCTGAAGGAAGAGTTCAACAAGTCTATTTCTTACGGCGGAACAGTTCTGACACTAGTCTCAGTTGGAATGGCGATTGGAAGCGTTAGTGTCGGTGTAATTCTCCAGAAAAAGATTCTAAACCCCTTGACTGCGATGGGGATTGGTGCCACGTGCATCTGCATTGGACTTCTGGTAACCTTCCCTCCACAATCTTTACCTGCTTTGTATGAACTCAGTCCAATAATGGCATATCCTGGAGTCTTCTTGGCTGGTTTAGGAGACCCCATTATGACTATAGCTACCCTTAGAGCCCTCTACGACATCCAGGTACGTGCTTAATAATAATAATAATAATATTGTTTGATATAATATTGTATATTTTTGTATTGATTGTGGTATTTTGTGTGCCAGATTCAGCAATGGGTTCTTGCTGAATCACTGTATATTACACTCTGTGACTAGTCCCTTTGATCCATCTCTTGCCCTACAAGCCCTGTTTCTTGTCTATACAGCATATAATTATCATGTATCACATTGTAGTATGTAATAAACATTTGTAGTAGTGTAGGATTGTTTGAATTTCTTTTTGCTATGTTTTATAATATTTATTTGTATAATTTGTGAGTGTTTCTCCCGCTTTTCTTCCCTTGCGCAGCAAGCCCTGTCTCTTGTAAAAACAACCTTGAAAGTTTTGTAGATACATATAGTTTCTACACCTTTATCCTCTGGTCCCTAGGGTCAGCTGATCCCGGGCCAGAGGAAAACTACCGACTGCCAAGGTCTGACGCCTAGGCAGTCGAGACCTCTTATTGAGACCCTTTATAATAATAAAATTTGGTAGCTTAAACACAAACTCTAAGCTCAGTGGATAAACCACAAAACCTATGCTCTATTGTGTGAAACAAAGATACTAGATCAAGATGACTATCAAGGAGTGTATGCATAGGACATACAAGTTTTGGAACGAAGATGACATGCTTATGAAGCGAGCTAACAGTCTAATTGCTAATAAGTTCAAAAAGATCAAGACATTAGGTTGCATCCTAAACAGTTTAAGCAAATAACATAAAGTTATTTTGTCAATTAATCGCTTATGCCACTAACTAAGAGTTCGGACATTTTCAGATTGTCACCACCTTTAAATAAAAAAGTAAGTAGTGTATCTAGGCTCTGTGCCGCCCGACCTCTAAATTTAATCATGGGGGCTAGCTATCTAAAAATATAATTTAATACATCACAACATAAAAAATAATTTACTCTTTCAGCTGCAGAAAAGGGGGTCGTTAACCCCAAAAATGGTAACAAGGATAACATCAATATGGATTATGGGATACTGCACTATGTATTTTGCAGGATCTTTCATCGCCGGGACACTAACGGATTACTTTTCTTACTCAGGTATGTTAAACATTTATGAAAATGAAAATGAAAATGAAAATGAAAATGAAAATGAAAATGAAAATTAAAATGAAAATGAAAATGAAAATGAAAATGAAAATGAAAATTAAAATGAAATGAGGTATTTTCATATAATTACGTCATGATTAACCAACAACACAAGGAAGTTGCGTCAATGTGAACAAAACTATAATTTACAAAATGTGAACAAAAGTATAATTTAAATTTACATTTAAACACTCAAAACAAAGGTTTTCTTTGCACAACTTTAATAAAAGTTGAAATAATACACTAAATAGTGTATAATATTATTAAAATATTATAGATTTCTCTATCATATTATATTTTCAGAGTTAGCAGAGATTTTAGCTGGATTTTGTCTCATAGCTTTACTTATCTGTATTGTGATGAGACTTTACGTCAAAGATAAGGCAGACGAGGACGAAGAAAAGATGGCATTGATCAAACAATGAAGATGGTAAAGCTGAACTGTTTTAATAATTAACACTATATATATATTTAATCTGTTTCAAACAAGTGAAACACTCGAAATGTGTAGACAGACGAAATAATTCGTGAAATATGAAACAATTTGTGCCAAGTTAGAATGATGAAAACTAGTAAAATGATGTGTTGGCTTTTTATAAATACATAATTCATATTTTTACTTTTTTACGTTTGAAAAAAATTAAAAATACATATGACTGGTCATCGCTATAATTTTTATTGATTTTTCTAATATTATATAATATTATGTGCGATATTCTAGCAATGAGTCAATTAATTATAATAATTTATTAACTGATCATTGATTTTATCTAATTATGAAGAAGACCTTTTTTATAAACATTTAATTATTTCATATGATATGATCATTTATGCAATCAAAATCACTATACACCCATAATCATATGATCAAAACACAAAGCTTTGAAATATACTTTTTTCTGTTTGAGATTTGAATAACGTTACTGTAATGTTCCAAATTATATTTTAAATGTTCAAATGTTCAAATGGTTTCCATGATTCAAATGAAAGATGAAAGGCGAACCTTAAACGATAGAAAGGTTATAAAGTGACGAGAGACTCTTTTCTATTTTTCAATAACTGTAAAATTTTATCTAAATTAGAGATTTTTTTGCATTCTTTCAAACCCTGTTTTACTGTTCTAAATAAAGAAAAATGTTCATTAACTGTAATTAAGCCTTGGACAAAATGCCATGCACGAAATGGCAGTCAGTCTTTTGGGGCCAAAACAGACATTAACTCCTGGCCAGAATTCAGGTATATTACTAATGCTTTTCATACAAGTTACAACAAAGTCTTCATGTTATGTATCCTCAATAAATGAAACAGTAGTGTTGTAATTAGTTTAAAACTATATATTATATAAATACTGCAGCCAGCATAGGTGAAAATAAGTTCAAAAAGTGGCACCTTTTTTTAAACCTGGCTTTTTTGTGAGATATTTTTACCTTTGCGGCTAGGGCTATCGCTGAATTTTAAAAGGTCTTTGCAACTTCAGTTTAAGTTATCATTAATTTTCTGGGAGTTTCTTCATGTGCTTGCTATGACAAGATGATCAAGATCCCTGCAAATTTTATGCAGTTTAGAAACGCTTTGAAAATAAATAAATGGGAGAGCAGGGTCAGCTCTGGAGACAATGACTGGAATGAATGCTGGCCGCAGGCTGAATATTTGGAGCAAAATGTTCAATTTTATTGCGCTCTGGGACTTCCAAACAGGTTAAATTAACCTCTCCCAAGCCAAATTTTCTTCAGGTTATCTTTTCACTTGAATTTTTTCAAAATTTAGCCTAGCTTTGAAATTTTAACGTAAGGAGGGGCAAAAAAGGCTATTTTCAGTGGTGGCACCCAGCTAATTAGCTCTCTGTAACACGATAAACCGGTTTAAACTGGTTTTAAACAGGATTTCAGATAAACTGGCTTAACCAGTTTACATAAACCGGTTATGTCAGCCCCTACTAGCTCCTATATATAATACCGATACTGAGAAATGCGGGACAGATTGTCCTGACATGACTCAAGCTCAGGCAGTGATACTGTTGTAGTTGTCTGTACACTATATTATATATGCATGTTGTAGAATTAGTAATTAGTATGTTTGTTTAGTAGGGATTAGTGCCATATAAGGTAGTGTTTTCTTGGTAATAAATAAGTGGGCATGTAAAGCTATTGATTGACCAGCTTTCAGCAGCGATCAAATCAACTAAATTTCTAAATTTTAACTAAATAGTATGTTTAATAAACATGTTGAATTCATTCCGAAAATAATAAAATCTTAACTTATAAAGTTATAAAGCATTATTTTACGTTTGAATGGTCGTATTATGTTATTATTGGTGATTTCTTTTTAATCACTAAAAAAATAGAAAATAAGAGGCATTTAAGAACATCGAAGTTCAAGAACATGAGCTTATCGAACATTTCTGGAATGTCAAATATTAGATTTGTTAGTTCGCAACAATTCATTTTTCGTCATTGTTTATTAGTTTATAATACTCAGTCACATCAGAAACGAGAAAAACATGACAGAATTTGAAAAAAAACATCTTTCCTCCCACATAAACCTTCAAGTGGACACAAACATTCAAGTCTTTGTAGATCCAAGTATGTACCATAATCATATTACTTAAATCTACATAATTGCATAATTGAAATAAGTGCGGGTATGGCTCAATTCCAATCCTATCTCGGACTTGTTAAGCTGTTAGCAAGATAACACGTACCTTACAATGTTATGACATGGTATTAAAGATTGCATAATTTACACAATTCCCAGCTCCAACCTCTCAAGGGTGGCTATCAGAACGGGCGCGTAAGTGGCTGATCATCTCAACACTAATCTTCTACGGCCAAGCTGTTTCCATCTGCTGCTGCATTAGGTACGGGTTCCTTGCAGATTCCTTTGCTTCAAGGAATGTAACAGGGAAAGTATACGGGTCTCTTGGGAGTAGTCTGTTTATAGGGTATTGTGTCATTTTCTGCTCCAGACTAACAGAGAGGATCATGAAGAAGATGCGATCCAGGGATCTGCTGGCTGGCATCATGATGGCCTACTTCTTGCTGAATATAGCCACGGGTTTAGTGTACCAGATTGAGAACACCACAGTAGTCATCGGAGTTTCATTCTGTTTGAGGATACTCCAAGGTATATTTGCATATCCAGGCTACCTCGTCCCCATCGACTTCATCAACGCTAATCTTGGAAAGAATTTAGATTTTGTGAATGGTCTTCTGAACCTGGGTTACTTTACAGGTCAAGGAATGGCTGAGGTTATAGGTTGCATTCTCTATGATAATTACGGGTACAACTCAGCTTTCATGTTCTCTGCAGGAGTGGCCTTACTGTCAGTCATCCTCATAATGTTCCTCATACCCAACACAAAGACGTACCTTTCCACCCCTAAAGACATTCCGAGTGAGATGCAAACGGAGAAGGGACTGACAAGCGACCAATCGAGACTGAGCAAGTTCCTCATCATTCCTATGGTTGCCTGCATGTGCATTAATGCAAGTTACGGTGTACTACAGGTGAATATCATGATAATTTTAGATTTTTTAAGTGACACAGTTTTATTTTGGTTTTAGCTTATGTGCAGTTCACATAATATGATAATAATGAAAATCATAGTTTGTAGTATAACAGTATACACCAAATCATTGGTAAACACTAACATTTTAACATATTACTATAGGTTGCGGAGACGCCCTTTCTGAAGGAGGAGTTCCACAAGTCTATAACCTACGGGGGCACAGTCCTAATTCTAGCTTCAGCCGGAATGGCAACAGGAAGCTTCATCACTGGCATCCTCCTCCAGAAGAAGATATTCAACGCCTTCACAGTGATGGCTATGGGAGCTTTGTGTCTGTGTCTAGGAATGTTGATAACCTTCCCGCCGGAATTCATACCAGCAATGTACCATGAAGCTCCGATAACGGCCTTTCCTGGACTCTTCATCGCTGGGTTCGGATACCCTTTCACTACCCTTGCCTCACTTAGAGTTCTCTACAACATCCAGGTATCTATCACTCGTTAGTAGGAAGTAGGAATAAGAAGTAGGAAGTAGGAATAAGAAGTAGGAAGTAGGAAGTGTTATTAAATATAATATCAAGTAATATGATAGACATATTGTTTACGAATCAAATTTTTTGTAAATCTCATTTCATCTGAACAAGAACCGCGACCGAGCATAATAACACTAATCGCAATAATATCTCCTAGATGCAGAAGAGAAGAGTGTTACCACCGAAAGTAGTTACGAGAATAACAGGACTCTGGTTGATTGGGTACTGTTCTGTTCTCTACCTGGGCTCCTTCGTAGCTGGGGTAATGACGGACTATGTTTCATACTCAGGTAGGTAACGTTCTTCGTGTCTTTTAGTAAGGGGTCATTCACATATTATAACGTAATCACTTTTTTGCATAGCCCCCCCACCTTCCGTAATCAGTTTTATGCATAGCTTTTGTGTCAAAATTACACATGGAAACCATCCCCCCGCCCCCCCCCCCCCCCCCCCCCCCCCCCCCCCCCCATTCGGCTGATTACGTAATATGTGAACCCCTAATGATGATACTATAGACTTATTATAGACAAGTTTACGAAGGTACCAAGATTTTCAGGCTTAATCTTTAAAAAATTATATAATTATGCTAATCGTCTTTCATTTCCACTGATAGTTACTTTAAACATTATTAAGTTGATTTTTGCATTTGTTATGTGCCCAATATTTAAATTGAACTAAATAATGTTGAGTAAGAAAGCCAAATCTCAACTTGTTATTTTCAGTGATGGCGGGGATACTCTCCACATGTTGCCTGCTGGCAATGGTCACGTGTGTGCTTATGAGGTTCATCTTCAGATTCAGCTTGGAAGTTGACCCTGACAGGAAAACAACGACAGTGATAGCTAATCCTGGTTTTGATGAAAACCATACCGTTATATTTGGTATAAAAACAAAACAATGCGAAGGGCCGTGCGCATGAGGGGTGTGAACTGTGAACACTACAGTAGGATCCGAACAATATTATGGGTCGGGGACATCTGTCTCAGGCTGAACACAACTACACAATGGGGAGCCAATAGCATTAAATGGCAGATAAGCGAAAATGTTAAATACATGAGAAAATTTACTCGAATTCTGTGAAAATTTCCCAATTTAAGCCCGTTTTATGCCGTTAGCTACCCTGCATTTGTGTATCTTTAGAGAGTGGTGTATTTTCTTAATACTCGATATGTAAAGATTTAAATGAATCCTTTGATTATTACATTATACATTAAATGACAAATTCTTTCAGTTTCAGTGCGGATATAATACAAATATGTTTGCTAAATTTGTGTCATTATGATATGTATGATTGATTGATTTGAAAGATTTCAATTAAAAAATGCTCTGAAATCAATAGACAGTTTGCAGTAGTACTGTTCCATGTACAACTTCTATTTTAACTATATTTTGTATTGTGGTTTTATAAATCATTGTTATATTGTTATAAGGCGTTACTGCCGCTCCGGTTAGGAGCAATTAACTACAAGATATTTTATTTGGCTTATCTCATAACAATAACATTCAGACCCACCACGTAACTTTAGCTCGGATATACAAAACGCACGATCACCTGCAACAATAAATCAATCCAGAAAATCGCTGAAAATAACTTAGAGAAGGAGGGAACTTCGGTGTAATTAATTAACACATGACTGGCGTCACGCCCCGCATAACAGACTCTTCCTATACGGACACGTTCATTTGAGTTTGAGGATATTGGTAAATATAAGTGACCCTATTAAATGGCACAGTGTAGTTGAATTTGTCACACTATGAAATTACATAAACCCTTGATGGTTAGGATAATCGTATCATCCTCTAGGCTAACTTTGTCACATAACGATATCTTAATCAGGTGATAAGATATCGCTTAAATACGGCCGGCACGGAAATGGTTACATTGTCACACTATAAACATGTGACGGAGTAAATATGGACCCCTTGCTGCCGTTTTTGACCAAATTTTTGAGTGTCCAGTTGATTGGATGGGTACATATGACCATTACCTACATATTTGACGATTTTTTTCGTTAGATGGTGCACTCAGGTTTACTCTGTCACACATTAAAGAAAATATGCGATGAATGTTTAGGGCACCCTGATAAGCAATGCTGAGTAGTGTAGGTTTATTTGATGGCCTGAAAGTGCTGGGAATTGTTATTATATCATATAGTCGTAAGAAATTAAAACACAGAAGGCACAACCAAGTTTACTTTGTCACATAATCTTGATGATATCTGAACATGTGTGAAATTGAACAAATAATGATATACCAGCTTAAACCCCTTATATTACGTACTATGGATCAAACAACACTGCTAGTACCATGCACCAGTCACATGAATCATTATCAGGTGGTAATATGTTAACAGTGTCACAATTAAACTACCACAACATGGTCAAAAATAGGATAATTTCGTCACAAAAAAATTATCATAACTCTGTTAGCTCCTTGCTGGCAAAATAACTAGTTTATCGAAAAATTTTTGATGATTAAGTTTCATAGTATTCTAATAGAGTATAGTTCTTCAAAATAGGGGCAAGATATGTTTACTTTGTCACATCAGTTATTATAAGAGTTAGGTAATCGTCATCAGATTAAAAGATATTTTTCGTAGTTTGGATCGATTAATATACCTGTAATAAAGCACCCTATGCCAATTTTAACGTGCACTATCTTGATATTGTTGGGGCAGGGAAAGTTAATTTTGTCACATTTTCAGTGTCATTGACAAATTAATCTAAAATTGTTAAAATTGAGCTCTGATGTTCTGGACAATATTCTTCCAATCGTTTCTGAAAGAATGTTGAATTCTAATAGAGTTATAGATCTTCAAAATAGGGGCAAGACATGTTTACTTTGTCACATCAGTTATTATAAGAGTTAGGTAATCGTCATCACATTAACATATATTTTGTAGCTTGGATTGATTTATATAGGCAATAAAGCATTCTAGTATGCCAATTTTAACACACTATCTTGATATTGTTGGGGCAGGGAAAGTTAATTTTGTCACATTTTTAGTGACTTTGACAAATTTAACCTAAAATTGTTAAACTTAAGAATGTTGAATTCTAATAGAGGTATAGAATATAGATCTTCAAAATAGGGGCAAGACATGTTCACTTTGTCACATCAGTTATTATAAGAGTTATTATAAGAGACTATTTCATTCTATAATCATTGTTTTTAACCTATTTACGATTTCGTATAATTTTTTGTGACAATGTAAACATCAACTGATCTTAACTTGCATCAACTACATTGTCATCATATAAAGTTTTCCCGCCTTTCAAACCAAAATCAAATATAAATAATTCGCCCAAAATTTAAAATTTCATATATTGTGACAGAATTAACCTCATTTCCCAATAACCGAGTGCCTGTATTAGCTAACTATTCAAAACGATATTATATTTTAGGGCTATGATTGGTAGAGCAACCATCAAATAATGAGTTGAAAGGGTTTTTAGGACACCTCACATTAGAATAGAGGTATGGTATCATGAGTGTGACAAAGTTACCCAAATATTGCCTTGTAACCGTTCGATCCGTGCCCATTAACCAATGTTGTATCATAATTGTAAGATTGACCTAATTTACTGTATTTCAGACCAAGGAATGATAATTAGACAACTGCAGTTAACTAAGTCACACAAAATGTGACATTTGAACCATTATAGTGCCTAACAACAATAGATTTTCTTTCTGAGCGGTGCATATGGGAGTATGGGTTACGTGGCTAATGTTCAGAACTTCTGAACATGCTAGGTTAATAGATGTCAAAATTAAGCCACTATCGTCGAAAACGCTATTATTTTTGTTTACCAATATCCTCAAACTCAAATGAACGTGTCCATACACATAATTATAGGGGATTGGTCTGTATCGCGAAGGAGCAGACTTTTGTCCTCAACGCAGCCCCCCCCCCCCCCCCCCCCCCATCCCGATTACTTATTCCCTACGATTTTTTGCCTCCGGTAAGAGTAGGGGGGAAAAAATAATGCAGCGATTTTGAAAATGTTGATCATTCTTCATATTTCTTTTGGACAACACCTTGACCAACATTGGTGCCAAGTAAACTGGATTCGGGGATGGGTCTTAAGGGGGACCCCCCCCCGGCCCCCTTAACTAGACACCTGCTGAAGCATGATGGGTCTTAACTAGACACCTGCTGAAGCATGAAGACCCCCCCGGCCCCCTTAACTAGACACCTGCTGAAGCATGAAGACCCCCCCCCCCCCCGGCCCCCTTAACTAGACACCTGCTGAAGCATGAAGACCCCCCCCCCCCCCGGCCCCCTTAACTAGACACCTGCTGAAGCATGAAGACCCCCCCCCCCCCGGCCCCCTTAACTAGACACCTGCTGAAGCATGAAGACCCCCCCCGGCCCCCTTAACTAGACACCTGCTGAAGCATGAAGACCCCCCCCCCCCCCCCCCCCGGCCCCCTTAACTAGACACCTGCTGAAGCATGATCGCACATTTAACTAGACACCTGCTGAAGCATGATCGCACATTTATGTTAATTTCGGCAAGATTCTTAGCCCCAAACAAGATTACTAACTTAATTGGCTCTTACAAATGCGCTCGCCTTAAAATTATCACGTGACTTTAGTTTTTATGGTTTTGCAGCCGATCAAAAGGGTTTTACATAAACCCTAATCTCAACCTTAACAATTACCATATCTCCAAACAGTGGTGTGCGCCGCCGTGTTCTACCAAAATCGGCGGCGGCGTGACCAAAATTAGCGGCGGCGGCGGCGTGGCCTGTGGACAATTGGCAGTTTCAGTCGTGACTCGACAAAATGGAAATTCATTGCTTAGGTAAAGGATTGACTTAGTATTAATAAGGTTTAGACGGTTGCAAATTTCACTTCAATTCATCGTTGATCGTATGACAGGAATTCACAATTTCATGAAACATTGCATATGCTACATCGAACTACTTGACGTCAGACATGCTAGAGGGATTTTATAATTATATTCAGCAATTATTGAAAATTCAAATTTTAAAAATACCACTCGGCAGCGGCGGCGTTCGGCGGCGGCGCACACCCCTGTCTCCGAAGCTATCCATAACCCTAACCACAACCCTAACCCGAGCCCTAAACAATTAAATTCGTGTTTAACTAGCCTGTCGCGTGACAAAAACAGTTTTTGCCCATAACTCTCCAGGGACGCATTTTTACTCTACGTCATGGGGGTGATTCGGAATCAGCGTCCAAAAATACACCAATATGAATGAATTGTATCCCTCAGGGCCTTTTCAAAGATTTTTTTATTGAGCGATTTAGTGGAAGCGAACTTAATTAGCATTGGTTACATAGCGACTACAATATTTAACTTTTCTTGATAAAACGTTTTTACTGACTAATAATTTAACCGTTTTAATTTCATTTTAATAAACAAAGTTTTAACATCACGACCTAAGACTGATAAGTTGTGATAAGATAATATGATAAGTTCTCATTATTCTCTCTGGACGGTATTAGCTCTGAAAAGAATAAACACCAGATTTAAATAACTAATTTTAAGATAAAATCGATGGCAAAAAACCAACTGATGTGACAATTGAAGCTCTAGAAAAACGTGATATAAATTAATATTGATCTTAATTTAAGTTGATTATTTGCGCACGTGACGACTATTTAAATATGGCCGGTTTCACTGTCACAGTGGCTTAAGTCTTCACTCCGCAACTACACTCCACATACTTCACAGTTCACATACTTAGGATTAATGCTCACGCCAACTAACACAATAATGACAAAATACCGGCAATGTTATCAGTGCAGATATAAGGTTTAATCGGCTTGGGGAGTCTTTGCTGTTTAATGTTTTAACTTTATATTTTCTTATCATATAATAATAATATTATATCATGGGTAAATATAAAGTATAGGCCTCAAAGACAAGCAAATTAACCTAATTTGCTCGTATTTTGCGCAAATCTGCAGTAAAGGTATTTCGGCACGTTTGAACCAGAACTGTTCGTTCTAAAAGTAATATTATTTGAACGAGAGCAGATCATACATGTATACCTAATTTTATGTGATAATTGAATTTAAGTTTTGATAACATGAATCTTAGCAAATATGCTAAATAAAAGTATTACAATGAATTAATTCAATTTTATGACTACTGGAAATCGATACATGGTCACATTATGAAAGAAATGTTGTTAGACACAACACGATAAGCTGATAGACGCAAACCTTGATAGGACAGTCACTAGCTGAACTTGTAATCTATTTGTTGGTTTTCCTTCTCTTACTCGTTCGTTGTTCGAGTGGCCTCATTCATCTTGACATCCTACAAACAGCAGTCGGTTAAACTGGATATATTTAACGGTAATTATTATTCCAGCTTCAAAGTAGCATATAGTAGCTATAGTATAGCTACAGAGTAGTATGTACTTTTCACCAAAATCACGTCGTGTAGAAAGGGAAAAAACATAAATATAACATTAAACTGTTTATTTAGACGTTTTAGACTAGCAAGTTTGGTTGAAATGATCTGTGCTGTAATAATATAATAGTTACACTGATCTGGGCTATAATAATATTTACACTGATCTGTGTAGAGGGGGGGATGACACGGCCGCTTACGTTCTGTCCTTTTTGGATTCAATGAGACAACGGACGTGATTTTGGGACATTAGCGGACATTAGAGGACAAGCATTATGAGAATTTTGAACACATATTTTGGGCAAATTGGAAGGAGCCTATATTTATAAGCGGGGAGCCTGCCTAGGTAGGTATCGAGAATGACTCTGACCGAAAAAGCCCAGTCAAGCGCAGAACCCGGAACCGCTCTCTGTGTTTGTATTAATCACGGGACACCAATGTAGCGCACGTATTTTCCATAGTCACGTGACATTCAAATTTTTTTCAAGGCACAAACCAGTAAGTCAGGTACTTAATAGTATGTGATATTTATAATTAATTATCTTTCACTTATCTTATCTTGATCTTATCTTTTAAACATTTCTAACCAATTTGAATGATAATCAAAGGATCATACAATTCCTGCCCGTTTTAATTAACTGGTATTGTCTCGAAACCCGACCTAATTCTAGAGAAGTATTCTCCGGAATCCCACGTCGCATAGGCACGTACCTATAAATCGTGTTTCAAAAAAGAGGCACAATTACATTTTCAGTTTCCAGGCTGTTTAGTTTGGGGGGGGGGGGGGGGGGGGGGCGGGGGGGGGGGGATCATGAGTATTTTTGAGAATTTTTGTATTTGAGAATTTGACCATTTTCGACGGGAATACTCATGTCTTAAAAATTATTTTTGAATCTGAGAAATTCAGCGTGGTTTCAGTTTATCAGTTAACCCCTGTATCTCAATTAATTATTTACAGTTTAAGAGGTTTTTAAGAGATCTCACTTCAGGTATTTAACTAACATGTTTAGATCTTTTACCCAAGACAGTACAACAGCAGTCCTCGACATCTCAGTTTCTGTCCTCAAAATACCTTTTAAATAGGATCTACAGGGTGAACCATATAAAATGTGACTTCGTTTGAAAAATTATCACCCTGTCTTTAAAAAATCAGCAAATTTTAACAAATTTTAGCAAATCTTATTGTCTGCTATTGTCCGCCTGTTTCCGCTAATTTCCCCCAATGTCCGCTATTCGCTAATGTCTGCTAACTTGCTAATGTCTGCATATGTCCGCCTGTGCAGTGTCCGCTAATTTCCCCCAATGTCCGCTATTCGCTAATGTCCGCTATTGTCCGCTAATTTCCCCCAATTTCCGCTATTCGTTAATGTCCGCTATTGTCCGCCTGTGTCCGCTAATTTCCCCCAATTTCCGCTATTCGTTAATGTCCGCTAATGTCCGCATATGTCCGCCTGTATCCTGTCATGTCCTTTTTGGATTCTATGAGACAAGCGGACATAGACGGACTTGTCACCCCCCCCCATCCCCATCTGTCAATCCAGCATGAGCTTGTTTAACTCTTTGCTGTCATCAAGCCACGTGCGTGTCCCTCCGCAGAATGTCAACAATTACGTGAGGTGCACGGTATTTTCACAACAATCTGAAATAATTGTCACAATTATAGTGACAATTATTTCAGGTCTAGGAATTATATCTAAACTCCGATTTACCGCAGAATTTGGAGGAGAGGAAACAGCAGTTTAAATGGGAACGCAGTAAAATCAGTGTTTTACTGCACTATTACATTTTGATTTTGGTAGTGTGACATCTATAATTATTTATTTCCGAGAAAAAGCCAAATATTGAAATATTCACATTATGTGTTTGATAAGAGATAAGTTCGGCAAACACACTAACCTAATTAGCTGATCGGCAGATTAAAGTCATGATTTTATGTTGGATATTATTCCTGTTGTGCTGTCGCTGTTTTGCAGCATACATTTACCAACTTGTTTTAAACTTGTTCTAGATAAATAATTCATGTCCTATGTTATCTGCATGAACTGTCTCGGGCTTTGTAACTACTTAACTAGTAGTAGTACTAGTAGTAGTTTGTTACTTATAGCTTACTCAAATTTAATATATTATATTTCTCACCTCTAAAAGGACGTTTCAATATTAGGGGTCATTCACATAATATTAAGTAATCAATTTTTTAACAATTTTTACCCCCTCCGTAATTAGTTTTACACATAGCTATTGTGTCCAAATTACACTAGCTTATTCATTTGGAAACCCCCCCCCCCCTCCCTCGGCTGATTACGTAATATGTGAACGTCCCCTTAAGGGGGGTTTGTTCAGATTGATTGCTCTAGTCAGTACGTGTTTTACAGGACTGGTCACCTAATATCATCATGTGACGGTTAATTAATGCCCAGCTTACTAGCCACCGTGACGTCATGATGTCGTCACGATGACGACATGATGACGACATGATGACGACATGAGCACCTACCTGATAGTGCTATCAGGTCTATTCGTCACACTCTAGATCCTTACCCCTTAGATTACCACTAGACTATTATCAGATCTTGTGAACGTGTACGCGGGCTTTTTTGATACCGGCAATTATTATTAATCTCTTTTCGTCACGGTTCACATGTATTAGGTTAACACTTGTTTTTAGATCATGAATACGATGTAGTTACATTGAAACGTCGAGTAATCTCCTTTCCCTAATAAGAGCATTTTTACTTGTCGCAACAACCGGGATAAAGATAATTTTACCCAGAATACATTACAACAATGCGACTCATAAATAATACTCCAATCCGGATTTTACAACGTACAAGACGTGCCAAAATAAACCAGTTTCACATAAATGACCTAGCTTCCAATAATAATATAGCAGCTAGTTTTTAATCATGATTTACGGATGTTAAACTGGTTTTTACAGATTTTAATCTGGTTTCTAACTGGATTTAAAGGTCTGTGTCAAAGAAACCGGGACAGTTCACTGTTCATTCAGGAATCGTCTAAACCGTGATTACCATTTCCTTTAAATTTTAACTTTAACGTTTCGTTATCAATTCCCAGAGATTACATTATATCATTAAGTTAAGTAGACGTAGGAGTTAGGACTAAACCCCCTACAGCTAGTATGGTTTTATGGTTACTGAAAAGGAGATAAGCACCTCAGGCCATCCCAACTTGCGGGAGAGACTTGCCCTTGTATCTTGTTGTGTAGACGTGATTTGTACTGTGTGGCGCGTGACATGATTTATTGTACTAATATTTCATAGGATATATCTTTGCATGTCTGCTTTACGTTGCAATATTATATATGTTTATGTTCCCATTCTTACCGTAATATTATGCTGATCTTTCAACGTATTTTTAGAGAAATACTTTCTCCTTTTTTTAAAACATAAACCGTGACTACAGAGCTATTGACAAAACTAACAGCGAACTGTAAAAATCGTATGCTCATTCTATGTAAACAAATAGTACCAGTAAGATAATATTATGGTCATAGACAATTTATGTCTCAATTTTGTATTTTTAGCAGTTGACAAAGTCATTCAGTATTATAGTAAGATATAAATATATTTCCAACAGAATATTAAGTAAATTTAAAAAATTACCAAATAGATTACTCCTTAATAAAACGATCTCAATAAATTATATTTTTAAAAGCCCTCTGCGAGCATAATAGTAAAAGCAGCTTAATAAGAAACCTTCAAGACATCGTACAGGTTGGGGATATCTAACAGTTGAGCAGATCAAAGTCGTCTAGTTCGTCGTTGTACTCCATCACGTGACGTTTTATCTTGCTGCCGTCTGCCCACGTGATAAAGTCCTCCATGTTCCTCGTTACCAGGTAACAAGGGTCCGTTACCAGGTTAGGTCCAACTCTGATGTGTCCTTGTTCTACATACGTCACTGCATCTTTCGTTGACTGAGCCATGCGCAGTCTGACGAGTATAACAGGTAAACGTCTCCTACAAAAGCTGCTGACGGTTACTTTCTCACACAGAGATAGACTCTGAGCGGTAGAGAGTATCCCTAGATTGTACAGTTTTTGGAGAAGAGCAGCACTGCTTTCTGCCCTGCAGGCGGACTTGGAGTCCAGGTCTTTGATCCGAGCTGCTAAGTTCTTGATGTACCCGCACATTCTGTTGTACTTGGTGTAGTCTTCACGGTTCTGGAGATGGTATTTCCGCATCACCTGAGAGGAACGATACAGTTACGAGATTATCACACAGAAATATAGACATCTAGAGATCTAGGTTAGACAATAGACAATTAGGTTAGAACTTATGGTGATGATGGAATTACAGATCTAGATTTAGGAAGAGGTCGGATAGAATAGATAGAATAGAAATACCAACTCTTTCCCATGACATTTTCAATTTCATCCATGTAAAAAGACTCTTAATAGTATAGTTGGCACTAAACGCACTTTTAAAACCGAACTCTTAATACTGACCTTTGCTTCTCTGATATTATTGTCACTACTCCACTGCACCAAGTCCACTTTCTTCAGCAACTTCTGTTCATGATGCTTTAGCTTTCGGACCATGTTCTTAGCTAGAAAGGAGAATGGGGTTCAAGTTAGGCTTATAATAGTAATTATTGAAGGACTACCAACTGGAAAATGGACATGGCCGAAAACAATCGATATGGATCCCATGTGATTAAACGTTAACTTAACATAATGCTATAAAAGCTAAACATAAACTTAGGGTCAATATGTAGTGTAATAATATGGTCTAGAGATTTGTGTTAGGGAAAACTACATATTATAATCTTGGATAGATAATGATAATCTTCACGTGACCTCACATCAAGGGGGTCACGTATACAAGTAATTGTTGAACTAATACAGTGGCAAGCAAGGTCTATAACATGGCTATTAATATCCTTATTACTTTTCTTGCATGACAATTGCCAATTAGGCATTATTCTTGTTACCGAATGAAAATGTAAAATGTTTGTATTCCCAATTTTCCTGATGCTCTATAAAAAATTATCATATTTTTAGGAATGGCGTCAAAAAACGAAGACACAATTACAAAGATCAATTTTAGCCCGGTCCATAAGAAACTGTTATACATAACCCTTATCCTCTATGGTTGGGCATTCAGTATCTGTGCCTCTATACGTTATGGTTTCCTTGTAGATGCTTTCTCTTCCAGGGAGGTACCTGGCAAAGTATACGGAGCAATGGAAGGAAGCATATTTATAGGGTACGCGGTCACTTTCTTCTCAGGGGGCGTGGAAAGGGCCTTGAAGAAGGTCAACAGTCAGTTCCTCTTGGCTGGCATTGTTTTCGGGTTCGCTCTCACTTCCCTTCTCACCGGAGTCGTCTACCTCATAAAAGACAACACCACAGTCATCGTGTTATCAGTAATCCTGAGGGTTACCCAGGGTACGTTATCCTATTCAGGTTCTCTTGTATCGGTTGACTATCTCAGCGCTCAAATGCCGGAACAGTTTGATGCAGTTAATGGATTATTGAACATGGGTTACTTCACTGGCCACGGTATTGCGGAGTCAGTGGGGTGCCTGATATATGATAGATTTGGGTATGTTGGTCCCTTCATCTTCTCCTCAAGTCTCGGCTTTTTTACGTTTATCGTTATCATGATGGTGATTCCCAGGTCGCCATCATATCTCTCAACACAAGACGAACTTGACAGGGAGTGTGAACTTGAAGGTGCCATGAAGCTAGACTCTTACGCAACCAATGTAACTAAACTCATCTTTATACCACTGACAGCTACCATGATCATCAACATCAACTACGGAGTTCTCCAAGTAAATAAAACTAAACGTAAATGTTAATATCGAAGAAATAAATTAGAAGTCTGGTTGAATAATCATTTATCCTTGCCGTCTGAACTGAAATGAAAGACCTCCTTTTCATGTTTCTTTAAAGTGATACTTTTCAGGTAATGGTGACTCCGTTTCTGCAAAATGAGTTTGGCAAATCAATCTCATACGGGGGAGGAGTGCTGACATTCGTGTCAGTTGGAATGGCTGTAGGAAGTATTAGCGCAGGAATGCTGCTGCAGAAGAAAATACTTAACCCCTTCACAGTTATGGCAATAGGATCTCTATGTGTGGTCACTGGACTCCTCCTAACTTTCCCGCCAGATTCTTTGCCAGGGCTACACAACCTGGCTCCTATCACAGCTATCCCTGGGGTGTTCCTAGCTGGGATAGGAGATCCACTTGTTAGCATCTCATCTCTTAGAGCTCTTTATAATCTTCAGGTACCTACTTCTTAAAAGCTTGCTCGTTTACTGTTGATAATTAGTTTTAAAGTTAGGAAAGTCATGTCAACCCATTGACATGAGACATAACATTACAGTATACGATCACACCTATATTTTAAATTTAACTTAAAACTTAAACTTCTTTAACCAAACCTACACGTCTTATAACTTATTAATTTATCGCCAAACAGCTTTTCTGAAATTTCTAACCAAACCTACATTTCAGCTTCAAAAAACGGGGATTCTGATGCCCAAAACAGCTACTTTGATAACAGGAATATGGCTACTGGCCTACGCTGCTTTCTACTACTCGGGCTCAACTTTAGCTGGCGTTCTAACAGACTATTTGACATACTCAGGTGAGATATTTCCCGTATTATTATCAACATTATACAATTTACATACATTGTTATGACGTATGAATTTGAAAAAATTATTACTTTCAATGTTAACAAATTATAAATATAATATGTATGTATGACAACATTTAAGTTAAATATCATTTTGACATAATTATTTCTCAATCACTGGCTAATTAACCAGATTTACAATATAAAAATAATATTTCAATCTGGAAAACAACCAGTTTTATATTCCTGAGTTATTAGCTCAGTGTTTTAATTGTTGGGCGGATTATAAACATTTAATTACTTCAGAGGTGGCATCGATACTAGCTGGATTTTCTATGCTCGCTGTTCTCATCTCTGGTTTCTGCAGAGCAACCCTCAAAGATAAAGCAGATAAATCATTTGCTGACGAATCTACATCACTACTAGGTTAAAAGTGACTCGAATTATATATTTTTAAAAATAAGAGGCTGGACCTGGATCCTGGTGGCCCACTAGACGATAACATGGTGATGCTTTACCTGTATCGGTCGATTATAAACTTTTTTTAAGAGGGACTGAACCTTGTGGCCCACAAGAGGATAAGACTTTCTTACCAAACTTTCTTACCATAAAAACTTTTTTTTTTTATTTGATTTCGATATTTTAGCTTTGCATGCCATTTAATATGTTGACATGTAATATGTTTTTTCTATTAATCAAAGACTAACATTTATTTTGGTATCCATTTTTGACACAAACTCAACAATTATTGAAAACGTTAAGGCAAATTAATACAATATTATCATTATATTGTAAACAAAACAGTATCAATAATGATCCAAATTTTAAAATATAGCGAAAATCGCAAAATCAAAATACATAATTTCTAGTACCTATAAAAACTCGTTAATCAAAATGTAAAAGCGGACAGATAATTAAAAACCAACCGGCTGAACGTAACCCATCAGAAAATTTACCATTTTTATTAATCATGTATCACTGAACAACAATCCTTCTTACTTTTCTTTAGAAAAAAAGACGCGAATTTAAATCATGACGTAACCCTACAAAACAAACGGTTAATAGAGTTGTATTGCAATAATATGTTTATCAGATCAGTATCAAAAACTATGCATTAATTGATAAGATAACAAGGTAGATGGTACTACATAATTACTTACTTATTTTACTTGAATTAATTACAAAATAAAAAGATATTTTACAACATTTAATTGTACACCATTATACTGTGCTCATCAAGATACATCTAAAAACTACAAAATAACATGTATCTATAATTGGAGGGAAGAAAAATCAGTATTAAAGTATACTATTTTATGACTGGAATGCTCTCTGGTATGTTCACTACACGTGGCACGTTGCCTGGGTAACCACGTGACACGTTGCCTGGGTAACCACGTGACAAGTTGCCTGGGTAACCACGTGGCACGTTACCTGGGTAACCACGTGACACGTTGCCTGGGTAACCACGTGACACGTTGCCTGGGTAACCACGTGACACGTAGCCTGGGTAACCACGTGACACGCAGCCTGGGTAACCACGTGACACGTAGCCTGGGTAACCACGTGGCACGTTGCATGGGTAACCACGTGACACGTTGCCTGGGTAACCACGTGACACGTTGCCTGGGTAACCACGTGACACGTAGCCTGGGTAACCACGTTGCCTGGGTAACCAGTAACCACGTGGCGTTAAATGAGTTCCTCCACATGTTTGAGCTGGCAGAGAACAGTCAACCAAAATCCAGCTCCCGTCATATAGCTACTCTCTAAGACACTCTGAATTTACAAATGTAGTTGTGGATGAAAGTAGAAAGCACTCCAGCAACCACTATTCCAAAGCTGTCAGAAACTGATGCTAATCCCAGAGAGTACTCTCTGCGATGAGCTGGAACCTGGGAGGTAAAGCTGTGTTATTACTGTACACTCTGCAATAAGTATAGCGAGCTGTGTTATTACTGTACACTCTGCAATAAGTATAGCGAGGCCACAAGGAGAAATAGGACAACTTTAGCAGAAGATTGGTATCTTCAAAAGTGCTAAATAATCTCCGTAGACAATGGTGTTGGTACATATTATGTTAAAGTTGTTTCCTACAAAATGTTGAGCATCCTGATGTGATATTTAGAAATGTTTTAAGGAAAGTTACCTCATTGTAGATGCTGTAGAAAGCGTTAACGTAACACAACCCTCCCAGAAGACCCTCGTAAAGGATCAGAAGAATTGTTATCCAAATAGTGGGGATGAACTGGTATCTTGCTTCACACGCAAACACAATCAGGTTCACAAACTGAATATAAAGGTTATGTATAACTGAAACAATTGGAGAAAACGGACCTATAATTGGTGATATTTGCCCACTAAAGGGGAGATTAAACATTTAATTAACTTTTTTCAAAAATAAAATGATTTTGTAACAAATGTTAAATGCTTGATAGAAAAGAGTGCAATTATAATACCTGTAATATGCTGAAAATATGTATTCTCTTGAAGTGAATCAGGCTGGCACTCGATCTGGATATAGTAACACCACACTGATATATCACTTGGTACCTGTCAATTGAAAGTCAACTGTCAAGTAACTTGTTTCAACAAGGTCTTGCTTCAACAAGGTAAATATGATTTAAGTTTTGGAAAGTTGAGAGTTAATCAAATGTAAAAAGAGACAGAAGCTATATATAGCTTCTATATAATATAACTTCTTATTATAATATAGCTTCTATTATATATTATTATATTAATATAATAAGAGATTTTGACTAAAAATGGTGAAAATAGAAAAGGATTAAGGAATGTATGAAACTGTACTTACACCCTGTATTTTACATGTGAAACTGTACTTACACCCTGTATTTTACATATGAAACTGTACTTACACCTTGTATTTTACATGTGAAACTGTACTTACACTCTGTATTGAACCTTCATGCTCCAGGATATGTTCTTGTACCACATGATCTCGAACATTCCTTGGTTAATCAGGTACTCGCTAGCATACACCAGAAACAGGGACCCCATGTAATACTTCAGATCCTGAGATAGTTATTTCGTTTCTAATGTCATGGTCAACACTATGGAAAAGATGGTTGTTATATATTGTATTACTATAATTGATATTGTTATATTTACTAATCAATGAACTTCCCTAGCCTCTTATGGCTAGTTCCAAATAGACTGTTCCTTGTTATATCAACTGGCGACGAGATGGCAAACAAGTTGGAGAACCTGTCACTAATGGCGGACGTGAAAATTTGGTTAGAAAGGTTTGATTTTCACGCCCTGGCCAATTCTTGGATGGGGACAGTGCCGGACCTAGCAGAAGACAGCAGTAACGCAGCAGAGCGAACCTTGATCATAAAAAAGAATGTAGCGGTGTTCATATCTAAATGTGATGCTGAAATATTCAAGCTTTTAAAAGCTTTGTGTGCGCCGGAGAATGTAGCTGACTCAAACCACCCTAGACTGAGGAAGTTGTTATTGGACCACCTGGCACCGGCACCTACTAAATTCGCTCAAAGGCACAAATTTAGGAGTGGACGTCAGCAGTCGGATGAGTCTGGAGCCAGCTTTATATCAAGATTAAGGTCACTGGCAAATGAGTGTGAATTTGGTACAAACTATAACGAAGCTTTGCTAGATCAGATTCTGTGCGGTCTGAAGGACGAGAAACTGGTATCGGAACTGTTAGTCAAAACAGATTTGGATCTGGAAACAGCCATAAGAGAAGCGCTCAACAGAGAGCAAGCTCAGAAAGAGGCTCAAGGAATGCATGGTAGTATGTCTGCCACAGTGAACAGTGTTAAGTATAGTAAACATCCAACATTCAAGAGAACAGTAAATAACCCTTATCTGAAGAAGGGGGAGTCATCTCAAATGGACAAAAAACAATATCAGCCGGAAAATCGGGACTCAAACAACAAATCAAAAACCAAGTGTAAGAAGTGTGGTTTAAGGGGTCATGAGGCTGATAAATGTGAGGTGAGATGTTACAAATGTTCGGGACTTGGGCACATCAGTAGCAAGTGTAGGAATAATTGGAACAAGCGAGATGTCAACAATGTAGACAGCGATGCAGAACTACAAGAGTTTGACGACAACTGCAACAGCATTCTCGACGAGGAGTTTTATGGGCTTCAGTGTAACTTCATAGAAGTTAATGAGCGATCACAGTTGCATGATAATTGTTCCATAATTGTAAATTCTTTGGGGATTTGTACGATTTCTCGGTTGCATGAAAATATTGCTGATTCCAAGTTTAAATTGAATAGTGCTGAATCTAATTCTAATTCCGATAAATTGATTTATGATGTAAACCAGTTGGAAGGTAAACCGACAGTTGATGTATTGATTAACGGTAAAATCTTAAATATGGAATTTGATTCTGGTTCGGCGGTATCTGTTGTCAGTAAACGTGTCTTAGTGTCCTGTGGTTTGTCAAGTTTAACATTACAACCCAGCAGGAAAACACTGAGAGTGGCTAGTGGACAGCAGGTGATCGTGGATGGCTATGCAGTGGTGGATGTGACAATGAATGGTAAAAAAGTTCCGGACTTGCACTTGTATGTAGCCGAGGATTTCCCAACTTTGTTAGGGAGACCCTGGATAACTAAGTTCTGTGGTGAGAACTGGCTAGACAAGCTGCTAAGTACCAGGTTGGTCAACCGTTTGGCAATTGAGACAACCCAGCGTTCTGAAGATTCTCAGCAGGTGAACAACTGTGAGAAATGTGCAGGTAGCGACGGTAGAGGGGGACCAATGATGCAAACTGATGGGACCAACGTGAAGAATGATTTAAAACTCAATGATAACTGTACCAGAGTGGATCAGTGCAGAAGTTTGGAGGAGCTCAAACTGAGTGATGTGTTCAAATCGGGACTTGGACTAGTGAAGGATGTGGAGGCGAGTTTGGTCCTGCGAGACGACTCCAAGCCTATAATGTTGAAGGCTAGAAACCTGCCGTATGCCTTGAGACACAAAGTTGAGGATGAACTTAACTCAATGGTTGAAAGCGGTATCCTGTCCAAAGTAGATGATAGCCCGTGGGGGACTCCTCTAGTTCCAGTAAAGAAAGACGGAGGTGAGTCTGTTCGAATATGTGGAGACTACAAGTCAACGTTGAACAAGTGTGTGAGCACCCGACAGTACCCTTTGCCCACAGCGGAAGAGTGCTTTAATACAGTTCGGGGTGGCCTAAAGTTTTCAAAAGTTGACATCAAGAAAGCTTACAATAACATCCAGATTAGAGAGGAGGACCGAGTCTTGACGACACTTAACACACACAAAGGACTGTACCAATGGAATAGATTACCCTATGGTATCAGTAGTTCTGCAGCAATCTTTCAGTCAATAATGGATGATACCCTACGCGGTGTGCCGATGACTTGTTGCAGAATAGATGATATCCTAATATCGGGTAAAAATGACGAAGAGCACTTGATTAACCTGAACAGAGTGATTTCTCGCTTGGAGAGACGTGGATTCAAGTGCAAACTCGAGAAAACCTGCCTTATGGAGAAAGAAGTGATTTACTTGGGACACCGAGTATCAGCAGAGGGGATACAACCGGTACAGAGTAAAGTAGACAGTTTAAAGTTGGCTCCTGAACCCAAAAACGTGGACCAACTGGTCAGTTTTCTGGGTGCAGTGAACTACTATCGACGATATTTACCGAACCTGTCATCTGTTATTGCTCCCCTAGATAAGTTCAGAGCAAAGGGAGTGCCGTGGAAGTGGTCCAATGAGGAGCAGAAAGCGTTCCAAAGTTTGAAGAACTTGTTGTGTTCTCGTCGTGTGTTGACATTCTACAACCCTAAGCTACCTCTGAAACTCGATACGGATGCGTCTAAATCTGGAATAGGAGCAGTATTATCTCACATAATGCCTAATGGAGAAGAACGCCCGATCGAGTATGTGTCACGAACCTTATCGTCTGCAGAAAGGAACTATGCACAAATGGACAAAGAAGCTTTGGCAATAGTATGGTCAATAAAGAGACTGCATATCTATCTCTATGGAAGGAGATTTAAACTGGTCACGGATCACAAAGCTTTTGTTCGAATCTTTGGAGACAAACCAATTCCAGAGATGACAGCTAACCGGATAACAAGGTGGGCCTTATTCCTGATGAACTACCAATACGACATCGAGTATCGCACCACAAAAGATCACGCAAATTGTGATATGCTGTCGAGACTACCAAAGGAGGTGAGACACCCAACTGTGGTTAAAGATGACTGTTTGGATATGTTTTCTCTGACAGTGAGTGAAGCCATGCTCAACGCCGAGTTGGTGGCTCGAGAAACGAAGAAAGATCCGATACTGAGCAAGGTTTTGTGTTATATTCTGGAAGGATGGCCAGATTACCTGAAATGTGAGGGAGAACTAGCATCTTTTTGGAGCAGGAGAGATGAGCTGACAGTGGAACTAGGCTGTGTGACCTGGGGAGCTCGAGTGGTCATCCCTGTAAAGTTGAGAGATACTGTGATACGTATATTACATTCGACCCACATTGGTATGTCAGGTATGAAGAGCTTAGCTCGTTCTTATGTATACTGGCCTCGTCTTGACACACAAATCGAGGATACTGCTCGGACGTGTGAGACGTGTGGCAAGTACGGTAAGAACCTACCCAAACTGGTAGATCATCCGTGGGCTAGAGCAACAGCACCATTCCAACGGGTCCATGTAGACTTTGCTGGGCCTTTCTTAGGCAGTATGTGGCTCTTACTGGTAGATGCTTATAGTAAATGGCCTGAAGTAATTCAGATGAATGCTAATACAACATCTAGAGCAACAATTCGTGCATTAAGATCGATATTTGCACGAACAGGTATTCCTATGACACTAGTATCCGACAATGGACCCCAGTTTGTGTCTGAGGAAATCGAGAGTTACCTGCGCTCCAATGGAGTGAAACATGTCACAGTTCCGACCTATAGCCCAAAGTCAAACGGAATTTGTGAACGCTTGGTGCAAACCTTTAAAGGAGCTTTAAAGAAAATGAATGAGTCGAGTAAAGACGTGAGTAAAAATCTATATGATTTCCTGTTAACATATAGAAACACCCCGCATTCGTCTACTGGACAAACACCAGCAGTTTTAGCTTGGAACAGATCGCTGAGGTTTAGTCTACACCAGATAAAACCAGCCGACCACATGAAGGTTCAAGCTTTACAGACTGAGAAACTGCAAAAAGTCGTAGATGAGCAAAAAAAGACACGAGAATTTATGGAGAACCAACAAGTTTTTGTACGAATGGACAATCGAGGACCGTGGGTACAAGCTCGAGTGATCAAGAGATACGGTGATAACTCAAACAACTACGCAATCCAGCACGAAGGCAGAGTGGTTAAGAAACACGCAGATGTGCTAAAACCTAGATACTCACCGGTAATTAGTATGAAGAGAGATGATGTACCCGAGAGTCAAAGACGACGGTTGACAGAGGACGGGGACCGATATTTAATGATGAAGGGTCAAAAACTAAACGAGGTCCTGGAACGTAGACGACAGAGAGCGGAGTCACACATACCTGTTTCCGACCACATGACAACAAATGTTATTCCTCAGCAGTCAGCTCGATCAGCTTCACCTGTGGAGCAACCAGGTAGGTTGGTCCGTGAGTCCCAGTCGAGTCCGATTGTAAATAGTGAGTTAGTGTCTGGTTCGTCCGTGATTAGTAGCTCTAGCGTAGCGTCTAACAGTCCGTCTGTAGTCCGTTCGTCTGTAGCCAGACCAGAGGAAAGGCCGAGTAGAAGGGCTAAGACTAATGCACTGATAAAGATGAAAGAGATGACGTAAGGGTATTTGAGCTAAAATATGTAATATTTTGGCCTTGTAATTGTAAATAATTGTTCGGACAGATGTTATATTAAGACATTATTTTTATCGTTACCGTTTTATAGATGTTATAATAAGACAGAGAAATAATTTTACAGTTTTTTTTACTTTAATGTTTATTGTGAACCGTTTGATAATGTGAGTTTTTAATATTTGAAATGTGGAGAGTAATAGTGACAGTCAACCGAGCGCCAAGTGAGGGCCGGTATTGGACTGGAAAGAATATGTATGTAACGCGCGGACGCCAAACAGTTCTTGACCGAACAAAAGCAATAGCGCTAAACATTTAGCGATTGACTTTTGGTCGCGCGCCGCAGACCAGGCGAGATCAGAAGTGTTCGGTTAACCTAGCGAGGGGAATTGTTATATATTGTATTACTATAATTGATATTGTTATATTTACTAATCAATGAACTTCCCTAGCCTCTTATGGCTAGTTCCAAATAGACTGTTCCTTGTTATATCAATGGTGACATTTCAAACTCTTCCATCAGACCCATACCTTTTGATAAAGTGGACTGATAAAGTGATAAACCAAACACAAAGTAAACAACTCACCATAACACCACATTTAATCTTCACAACAGTATTCTTGATAGCAGAGAGTTTTCCAGAGTCCGCTGTTCTGTCAGCTGTCTGTCCAACACTGACTGCATCCTCTTCTGACTCAAGAAGTGGTTGGAAGCCTCCAGGAGGTTCGTTTAGAGTAGCTGGACGGACCAATATAAACCAATACCTGTGGTACACATAACAATATAGTGTACTATACTATTATACTGTATACAATAAACTTGACCTGTTACAGTGTTACAGACAATGTGCAATGTACATCTTGGTGTATAACAGGAAACAAATTTAAGAGTCTAAACAAATAAGCACCAAATTAAGGTGTTTAATAGAGAAACTACACTTACGTAATGAGTTGAATGCCAGGAACAATGACCATGAGATATATGGTTTGAGAAGGAGAGAGGATGATGTTGAGAGCTAGATATATGGTAGCACCAAGTATTCCAGCAAAACCGGTTCCTGAACTCCACGATGTTATCACCGCTCTAAAACATTGTTTTGTTAATGAATATAACCAAGTTTTACACAACATTGATATATGTCCACATTGTGTGTGCTGGAGATGCTATTGAATCGAATTTTTTCCCGATCCATGACTCGTGCCGAAGGCACAAAAGAGTCAAGGACAAGGGTTAGCGATCGAGGTTTTTTTTGTATATGGTAGCTTTGCGACCGTGCCTGCGAGCGTGCGTGCGTGCGTACGTGCCTTCGAGCACTGTTATCGCCCACGTGACTACCTGCGCAAAGTTATTTTGCGTGATAATCTGAATTATATAATTGTTGGCGCGCGGCGCTTAACCAACCAAGTACATTATTAATTTCATCATGTATGATGTACGTATCCCACTAGGCACTATTTGATAGCATATTATTATTATTTTGAGTTAGTATTACTATTTTGCACAGATCCGTGTCAGGTTGCATAAACAAAAAACATATATGGTTACATAGAAGTATACACGATTTTCAAATTCAATATAGATTTATATTAACTGGGCGGCGCTCGGCAGTCGGCATGTCACTTCGCCATATTTGCATGTTTATATAAACAGTAAAGACTGGGCCGTCCCCAGGTTGTATGGAATATGATAAATACGCCATCACGGATCGGGAAATTGAGCGGCCATCCACAAAAGAAAAGCGGCCGCATTTCTTGTTCACTTTGGACTTAGGCCTCCAACAAAATTTGGCGGCCAAATTCCAAAATTATCTCACAAAAATTCAGAATTTGGCCGCCAATCTTTTTGAGGCCTAAATCAAAAATCTGTTCTCAAAATAAGGTGGAAATGCGATTTCGAGTCGATTCCGAAAATTTCATGGACAAATTTTGAAAACTGATTGAGTTGTTACAATTTTAGTGAGATCAATTCCACGAATATCGCGAACCAAGATACGGGCAATTTAGTTCATTTTTTGTGGTCTTTTCGCCTTAGTATCCACATTTAAACAGATATAAAGCTATAACTTACAGAGAATATGTAGTTTAGGCTTACCTTTCATATAAGGTAAGTTTCATTCAAAAATATTGATATTTGACCAATTTATGGGACGAAATCTACCAAATTTGGTGCGTATGCCCAAATATGGGCATATGGTTTTTCGCTCATAACTCAGTCATTTTTTGTCCAATCTTGATGAAATTTCATATACGAGTTCAGGAGACCACTAGCTACAAGTAGAGCACCATAAACTAGGGTTTTGGGCATGTTCAGGGTATTTGGCTAAATTGGGCCTAATTTGGACTAAATATGGCGTGGCTGCCCCGCGGGCACCGTTTGGTGGTCCGGGTCCGGGACCCCCTCAAAAGTTTGGTCACTGGTCCTAGTTTGTTGGTCAACTGCTATCTCGAAATCAAGTTTCACAAAAAATATCCATTGGCCCCCCCCCCCCTCAAACAACAAATTGATATTATTTTATGTCCATGACATTATGTGTGCTGGAGATGCTATTGAATCGAATTTTTCGCTTTGGACCTCACAAACCTTTCAAAGTGAGAAGTAAGAGCTAAGAAGGTGACTTCTCCTAATCCTGAGCTCAATGCAGCTAATGCCACTCCTGCACACAAACAAAAATATGATTATGGGGCAAATACTGCTTTTTAACATCTAGCAAGTAACCAAAATATTGTACAAAGAAGATCATTCAACTCTTTAGTAATGAAAAAGTCATATAAGTGCAACTGATTTTTGTACAATAGGTTCTTACCGAATAGAATTAATGTAAAGTTGGTGGAACTTGCCACCATGATGAAGGAGGCAAAAGATATGAAAGCAGCACCACTCACTTTTACACTGAAACGATATTATATTATGTTAGTGCCTATCTAATGAATTGGTGATTTATGAAATAATCAACGTAAAATTGAACCAATTTGAGTCCAGTATTTAACAGATAATCTTCAGAGAGGACTAAGTCAAATAATAATAATAATATATTGTCTGAATGAACATACTTGTAGTGAATCTTGTGAATAAATGTAGGTGCTATCAGTTTAATCCCTAGTGCTGGCAAAACATCTGCAAGCAAGATAGCCTGAAATAGAAGTCATTTAAACAATAATTATCATGAATAAAAAGGGACTATCAAGGGAGAAAACAATATCTATCATTTAAAATATCTATCTATTATTACTGCAACTTACTCCAGTCGATATTTTCCCACAATATCCACCATCTGTACTATCTTTCTGAAATTATTAGGTTCTTAATGAAAAATTGCTAGTTTGGAGAAATCTTTAAAACTGATTAATAATAATTTTACCTACTGTTATTTTAACCATTCTTAACATTGAGGATTAACATGAGGTATTTTCAGTCTGATCATTTGATAATGTGTGCAACCAAACTGGCATGGTAATAATGACACTCCAACCAATAGATATGTAGCTGTATTTAATGAATATATATGAATCCCGTCCTAGCCCTTTTTGTATTCTTCAAATTTACTCACAGAAATTAGATCATAAGCAGCAGAAAGCATAATGACATATCCAAAATTGTTGCATAACCCAAACAACCTGAGATAATTGCCAATCAAAATTTGCTTCAGAGCAACATATCTGTATTCCTAAACTCTGTCTGTTGAACAAATATCACTTCCAGATGGCATGGCCTACTCTCATGCTGTCTATAGGTGATGATTAATTCTGAAAAACTAGGGACAACTGGGGAATGATCCCAGAACCTCGACATTTCGCGTATCTTGCTCTACCAATTGAGCTACTGACCCTGAATGATATCACGTTGAACGTGTCGTGTAATGTTGATATAGTGTGGATATATGCGAATATGTATTCTAAATAACTGTTGAAAAAATAGATCACAAGAATCAATACCAAATTAAAAAACTGTTTTTTGTACGTAAACTGTTTTAATAATGCATACATTATTAACTAAGAAAAGCAAAAATTCCTACCAAAAAGATATGATTGCTCTTCGTTTGTTACTTTCCAGTTCTGACATTTTTGATCTTGATGAAGGTTATCTGTTCCAGACTGATTTGCTTACTGTCATGATAGCTAAATAAATGATCTAAGATTTAGCTGTTAATAACTATGGGGAATCTCAAGTCTCCTGCTGCTACTCATTATATAACATGTGTGTGTCAAATAGTTCAATGAAACAAACACAACGACATTCACGATGAAAAATTTGAGACACTGTATTACAACCTGGACAATGCTGAGGGAAGTGCACTTAACACGTCAATACTCCTGCTACAAATTTTTATCCCGGAAAATCATCAAACCAGCCAAAACTACGAAGATTTAGGTGTTCATCATCTCCAGAAAAATAAGAAATTGCTAGGAACATTTGAGTCTGTTTTATAATGAAAATCGAAGTTTCATCATAGCTAGTGCCATGATTTGTTATCGGAGGATCTCAAGAACTTGTAAAAATTTGTGTAGGTTTGCATTCATCTCCTACACCGGCTCGGCTGCATCGATAGAATCATAGGTCTAGGTCAGGTTAAAGTTTGAAAAGTACAACTGACAACATAACCAAGCATTTAGTATTCATAAAATAACCAGTTTTTAAACATTTTACCCCACATGCTACTTTGAATTTTAATTTCTTTAAATCAAATGATTATTAATGTTATATTATGTAGTAATTGTAAAAGTTTCATTCAAACTCCAAAATTACTTAAAATGTGAAGCAGTAGATCTAAAAATTATAAAATATTAAGTGATCGCATGACCACTTGTCAATATAGCGCTTTACACAGTACCAATTAGACAGGTTAAAATACAACAAATTTATTTTAATGGACATTTAAAAAGAGTGAAACAAATTTAGTGAAACAAATTTAAAATTTTATCCTTTATTTTACAATCATAATATAATAATATTTATAAGCCTCCGTTTTGAAAGTTTTAAATTTTAATACATTCACATTTTATTTACAATTCAATTATATGTACAAGTCAATAACTGGCCGCCAAAGCCGCGCATTCTTGAAAACAGGATTAACTTGATTATAGTTATACGACTATGTAAATTTAAAACTATCTGTGGTTTTTTCTTTTAAATAAATAAATTATAATTTTACCTAAGTCCAAAGCCAGCTTTGAAAAATTTACTATTAAATCATAATATATCGTCAACTTTAAATATTTACAATGCAACAATTCATTAATCTGTAAACACGCGTACTCCAGCCCCTAAACGCATAAATTGTTATGCGGCGCGGCTCAAGCCGGGCACGCACGTATTATTTTATACTGTTTGCTTTCTAATAAATATCGTGCCAATGTGTACGTCTAAATTGTAAACGTTCATGTTTTGTGTAAAGTGAATCCAATTGGGACTAGTGACAAGGATAAGGACCCAAGTGCCTGTACGGCTTTTTCGGACCCCTGTGGACCACTATTCTTGAAATCACTCTACAACATTGAACATTTATATCTACTACGTCATTTGGCAATCATTGTCATTATTTAATCTAACTTTCTTATTAATTGCCGAGGGGGAAGAGTAAACGCTTCACATTAAAATTCAATATACAAAATTCAAAACCATCAATACGGCAGTGGCGTAACGAAAGGCCCTGCGGACCCCGCTGTGCAGGGGGGCGCCGTCTTAGGGGGGCGCCAAATCGTCGTTTGAATGTGGGACAATTTCGAAAACTTAACTAAAGTACTAGCAAAACTGCGCATTTTGCTCTAGATACACACTTTTTTAGAGATTTTACCGGCGTATTCTTTAAAATCACCTAATTTGTTCAATTTTAGGGAGGGGCACCAAAAGGGGAGGGGGCGCCAACAGGGGGGCGCTTTTTTCGGCAGGGGGGCGCCAACAGGCAACGTTACGCCACTGCAATACGGTATTAAATATTATGGACAAATCTATAGATCTATTTCGTAGTCATATATTCACACGATTTGCTTTATATTATTTTAATACTGTAATGAAGTACAGTAGGATTTGTGTTTCGAGAAAGAAAGGTTGCGGTCAAATTATTAACAAAAGTAAACAAAAGTCCATCAGGGACTCCGTGGAGTCGAAAAAGGTACACGGCTGCTGTCTGGTGCTGCTAGGCATTTATTGATCAAGATGTTTTATTGTATTGATTTATAATGATTCTATTGTTCGTGACTAATCAAGTTCTAAGTGGAGGTATAAAGTGCTGCTCAAGATACTTCGTCATCTCATGTCCAGTATAATGATTAAGATAGTATACAATGCAGTTTTAGTAGTTGACCCATACAGTTAAGTCCGTCATAACTCACAATCGTTAAGTCGTCGGTCAATTGTCAAAGTCGTTGTGTGTTTATTCGTTGAGATAGCAGTAAGATAAGATGTTACGCGCGCGCGTTTAATCCCGTCGACGTGAGATGTGACAATGAAAACGCCATAGAATTATTATTTTCGCGCGTTACGTAGAGTTTACCAGTGTGTAATACTAGTTAACACTGGGTGTACACTGAGTGTAAGTGTAAGTTTCATATACAAGCCGTTGAATATTTCCAATTTTGAGTGTATCGTGAGCATGTTTTACAGTGCGATTGCTCGGTACTAGTGTGTTTGTGTATATATATATATATATATCATTTGTGGAGTATGGTGTAAGTAATGTTTTTGGTTGGAGTGCAGTGGTTGTATGTATGAGAAAGATATATGGTCATTTTAGTAACTCACATAAATCAGAACTTGAGCTCATTTGTGGCAAAATTAAGCTCACACCAATCAAGTGTATCATGCTTGAATTGCAATTCTCGTAAGGCAATTTTCAATATATTCTTAAACCCGTTTGTCGGAGTATTAAAACTTATCTTACTTGATGTTTGTCGACAGCTGTTCCACATGTAGGATGATTGGTAGATGAATTGTGAGGATGGTTGTGATGTAATGAAATAATCCTCTCGTCGTGGTGACCTGTTAAATGATGAGTACAGTGATAATGGTTCCTCTAACTTATTAATTTTGAATAGTTCTAAGAGACAAGTGTACTTGTACAGATTGTGGACCGTCAACAACCTGTGGGTTTTAAACAAGGGCTTGGAGTGTTCTTTTTGGTAAAAGTCCACCCCCAGTCTTTGCTTATCAACAGGTCAAAAAGAAAATTCAAACAATATACATGTACTATAGCATTGACCCTATATCAAAATTCAATATGGAATTAAATAAAAATCTTAGTAAATTTTATAAAAACCCTTTAATAAGTAGTATTTGTAAGTTTATAACCTACCAGGACGCGCGCCGAGTTAGTCTCGTTGACGGATATTTAAAACTTTCGAATATTTTGTAGTATCAGTTTTGATTGACGATGTCAACCCATCGAGATTGTTGCTTTTTGTAGGTTTTTAACCTACCAGGACGCGCGCTTCACATAGCCATGTGTCTACGCGTACTGCGTGACGCGCTTGTTTTACTGCAAGCGAGAGGGCTCTGGTTAGAGCAAAACGCGCGCCGAGTTGGACTCGTCGACGGTCCAATATATGGAACAGATATTTTACGAGTATCACCCGTTAAGTTGCTTTGCGAAGCAGAGCAATGATCGACAAAGAATGCTAGTTCGCGCGCCGCGTCGAAGCGGCGCAGTCCTCCAATACAAGTATCAGTTACAACTAATTAATTAATATTAAATATATTTATATATACATGTAAATGAATATATGTTTATTGAATTGATATGAGACATGTATTGGTAAAATACAATAAACAAAACAATGTACGTACGTACGCGCAAGATTAAAATTAAAATGTGTCATTTTTCTCTGAGCATGTCAGATAAATTTAGTAAAATTAATATAATAGTTCTAATTCTATGATGCAATTATATAATTTTAATTTTCCAAGCACCATAAGGGTCCACGGTGCAAAATTTGGCAGTTAACAGTTTTATATAACTTTACATGGCCATGAGTCTACGCGTACTTGTTTCACAATAATATTATAATTTTGCTTCGCATCTTGATCTTTGCTAGCTCTGCTTTAGCTTTACAAAACAGTTGCAGTCTGGAAGAGTTGACAAATTTTGTATGCTTATGCTATGTTTAATTAAGGATGATGATTAATTACTTTATACTGTATCACGTAACTTTTTCAGCCCGTTCTCTACCCGTCACTGAACAACCATTTATACTTAAAACCTTATATTAATGCTTAACTCTTTATTATGATTGCAATCATAACCCTACTTCAATTCTTGATAAAAGCTTTGCTGAAACCCTAACCTTAGTCCCTAACGATAAATTAAATTAACTTCCTTATACGGTCATATCAGGTGATCGAAATGAAACATTTTTTGCCATGTCATGGAGGGTGATTAGGAATCAAAGTCAAAAATACTTTTATTCAAGTTTGAAGTTGGTTTCAACTGTTAGAACAATTTGATCTCAAAGATCATCGATTGTAGACACAAGAGTGCAAAGAAACTGTTGCTAAGTGCGAAGAAACTGCTGCTATGTGCTAACTGCTGCTATGTGCTAACAGGCTGCTCACTGCTGCTAACTATTGTTAACTGCTGCTAACTGCTGAAAACTGCTGCTAACTGCTGCTAACTGCTGCTGTCGCGCGCGCGCCATTTGTTAGCATCAGTTTCTTTGCACGTTGGCCCTCCTGTGTAAAGTGATTCAATTTAGCTCGCTCGAATTTTCAATCCACTTCATGAAAACTTTTGGAAAACAAATTTAATATATTTAAATAATATTAATACACGCTGTATTTCCCTTTTCCGACTAATTTAACAATAGCATCAAATTATAATTATATCTAAAGTTTTGCATGTCTGTATTTATACTGGAACAAAAGTCAACATTCGGTTTGTTGTTGATCAATGATCAGCGATAAATTTATTTAGATATTTCTTTTTCATTCAAGTTCTGTAGTTTATTTAGTTCTGCCGTGCATTTTCAGGCGTTGCGGTCAAAACATAAGCATTTTCAATTTTGAAGTATAGTTAGCTAGGTACGTACAATGGAGCTTCTTGACCAAATGAATTAGGATCAGTCCCCTTTTTCTCTTACATGATAGATGAAGGCAGATCATAGGTGTAATATTCTTTGTACCCTGGAGATGATGTTTTTAGATTTTGGTGCTCTGGATATAAGTGAAAGGTCCTAGCTGTATGTAGCATTCCTTGCACCCTGTTGTTTGTTACTATAAAAGTGATATGCATTTCAATATAATATGATTTAAGCCTCTTTTACTCCAATTATCGAGAGACTCTCAAAGCAGTACATCACAGGTTAAATCCTCCTTGGCCCTTGCCCATTTATTCCTCAACTTTTGGTCAAATGGGTTTAAGTATGAGCATCGATCAGTGGCGTAACGTTGCATGTTGGTGCCGCCCGCCGAAAAAGCGCCCCCTTGTTGGCGCCCCTCCCCTCTTAAATTAGAAACGTAAAATTGGACAAATTTGGTGATTTGTAGAGCAAAACGGGCAGTTTTGCTCTTACTTTAATTACTTCAAAATTGTCCCACATTTAAACAACGATTTGATGCCTCCTTAAGATGGTGCCCCCTGCACAGCGGGTCAGTAGGGGCTCTTTGTTACACCACTGGCATTGATGGGCATTGCTGTTTTCAAGGCTTTACCTTTATGATGAAAATGAACAGCAAGATATAGTTAAATTTCACTTCAATAGAGTCACAGGAGGACTATTATAGTGCAAAGAAACTGCTGCTCAGTGAGCAGCAGTGAGCAACAGTGAGCAGCAGTTAGCAGCAGTAAGCAGCAGTTAGCAGCAGTTTCTTTGCACTATAGTCCTCCTGTGGAGTATGGTCAAAAATTGTATTCATTTTTGGATTTTTCGATTTTGAACGAAAAGTGATGTAAATAATACTCATTTTGCCCATTGATTCCTCAATCTTTGGTCAAATGGACATGGGAAACGACCAGGTCTCCCCTGGCCACCCTGATGTTATCACGAATGAACTGTTGATTAATGAAATCGATCACAGTATTACTTTTAGTTTAAAAAGTAGGAACGGTATGTTATACTGCAACACAACATCTGTTAATTAACATCTGTCAATGCTTCAATGCTAATGTTTAGATAGTGCTACCAGCTGCAGTAATTGCACATACGTATACTGATTAGTGACAAACCTAATTTAGGAATATACGCTGATCAGTTTTACAGCAACTTATATCTTTATATTTAGAATTGTGTTGAGATTAGGAAAGCTAGTCAGTGTGTACTACTCAAGTCACGGTTTAGTTGAAGTAACGACGTTTTGGCTCAAAGAGTTAATCATGCACTGTTAAATCACACCGAACTTGGTGATAAAAATGAAAGTTTAAGGACTGGTAAACATATGTTGTGATTTTACCTGACCGATTTTTTCACTAATATAAGTTATGTTACTACTATATTATATAAGTTATGTTACTTCTATATTATATAAGTAAATTTTTCTCTATTGTCTCCATTCTACGATGATGGTGTCCCAATTTGTCGTCTCAGTTCTCTGTTTTACTTCTCCCTCGCTTTTACTTGAGTGATTTCCACCATTACCCCTGATTGAGAACCAAATACCAATAATGTCCAGAGTGAAACCATGTGGTTCGACTTGGACATCGAAATCCCGATTTACTGCATACCCCAAATTGTGCAGTGAATTAGGGTTTTACTGTACCTTTTCTTTAAACATTTGAATTCTCTAAAATATCCTTTCCAAAATTGAATTCCTTATTATTAGTTCTTGAGATTTTTGAAGTTATGAACCGCAAAAATTCCCTGCTGATGTTCATTTAGCGGCATTGCTGTGTAATTCAATAACAAACAACTTGCCTTGTTGAGCCAATAAATAAGATTTAGATCATAATAATGTATAGAATACAGTAAATAGAATACCGAAAATTTGTACGCTATAGCATTTATTAAAAATATGTATTATTTGTCATGCAATGCATTAAACATTACAATTGGTACGCGATAATTGCACAAGAAAAATCAAGCAAGAGAAAAGGTTTAAGATTACATATCATTTAACGTATTTATGACATCTTTTCTTTAGTTTTGCCCGAGGAGAAAGTTCTAGATTTTCAGTTATTTGTGTTGAACGGAATCGGGGATAGTTTTATTAATTATATTATTATGGAGCCGTTAAAGGTTTTACTACCACATGCCCCTGGAAAACTGCAATACTTTCAGAGATTATCTTTTTCTTAAGTATTTGTCTCGTTCTATATATTATGTATATTCTAATAATACTATCTTGGTCATTTTGTTCCTAAAATTACGGCATAAAAATTGATTTTCTTGCAATTTACCTTGAGACGTAATAACAGAGGTCTTAATAAACCCAACACCGCTAGACTGCTATGGTCTAATTACATTATGCTATTACATAATCAGCAAATGCAGCTTTTTTGCAGGCATTATTGTGTAACTAAGTTATAAATTTCCTTAAATTTTGTCGGACCAAAAATAGAGATTGTAATAATATGTTATTTGTGAATTGTTCTCCTTTACCACCTAAACTTTACCACCTTTACCTCTAATTACCACCTTTAAACTAGTCGTGTAACCGGTACAGACCTCAGCTAGTTTGCAGAACATGAGCCACGAGATGATTGTGGTATGGCGTAATTTAGTCGACGTCAATGTTCTACTTGTAGTGGGTTGTTTTTTCAGTTGTCAGCGCACTGACCTTTTGTTAATATTGGTTTTAATAGACTATAGAGCCTGCCAGCAGGTTTAGAAACAAGTCGTTTGTTGATTCTGTTACCAGTTACAACTGAATACGTGACCAATACTATGACGTAATTAGAAGCGTGATTTCTACCCTTATACTCTCAGATAATCTCATTAAGCAGATCAGAGATCCCCACTCATATCTTGCTCCAGGAAATTTATGCGAACATTCTGATTAATAATGACGTAAATTCCTCAATCTGACTGGTTTTGCACGTTTTATTTACTTTTGAGTTTTGTGTAATTCTATAGACTTACAGTGTTAACTGTTTTAAGGCTAGACAACGCATTTTTCCTGTTGTGTCCAGAAACATCTAGAAGAGATCAATTAAATCATCATGTAAATAGGCAGATAGAATTTAGGTGGCATTTTTGTTTCATCGTTTACACAGGGACTAGGAGATTTCCTGATGACCTGATGCAACTTCCGCAATCTTGCCGGTACATGTCCAGACCTGAAACAAATCAAGTTTAAATTATTTCCCGGAAGTCCACAAAAGGTCCCGGGACCCTGATCGGGCAGGTACCATTTCAGTTATGCCATCATGAGATGGTTCTGTTTCTCTTATTTGCCAAGTTTGTTTGAGTTTACCTTTTCGTTAAGTTTACAGTTTCGTTAAGTTTTCTGGACGAAGGAACTTGAAGGAAGGTGAAGAGTTAAAGGCAGTGTTCGTGACTGTTTCCGTAACTTTACTTTTCACCTTCCTTCCGTTTTTCTTTTGACTTTTAGTATATTCTATTTGGCTGGCTGGTGTTGTGTTTTGCTTGCTTTGTGGCTACTTAGGAGTTCTTGTAGTTTGAAGTTTGTAGCATGCCTCTTGTACATCAGGGACTTGTCCCATATTTATATTTCTATTTAGTGAAATGTATTCCACCTCTCCGCCCTCTCCAGTATCCAGCCAGATCTTTACTTTCGCACATTTTTTCGCTGATCTGTTATGAAGAGTCGCAAATTACGGTTCAATTCAGCAAATCTAGTTTTTGTTCTGTCCATAAATATGCTGTTCCAATTTTTTAACAACTTTCTTGCTACAATCTTTCTTAGAGAAAACAAATATGATTTCATGCCCCGTTTTTCTATTACTAGATTCATTTTAATAACAAATAGTGAAATTAGCCAAGTTGTAACTTCTCTAACGTTAGAGATCTAATAATTCAATTTCCATGATAAAGAACGAAAAATCAGAAATTTTTGTTCAGACCATTTGTAGTTATTTTCAAAGGATTTCCTATCAGACTTTCTGTATAACAACTCCTCATATTGAATCAGTGTTTATTTGACTATTAAATGTGATATCATAAAGTTGCAACAAGGTTGTAACAAGGTTGTAACAAGGTTGTAAAAAGGTTGTAACAAGGTTGCAACAAGGTTGTAACAACCTTGTAACAAGGTTGTAACAAGGTTGTAACAAGGTTGTAACAAGGTTGTAACAAGGTTGTAACAAGGTTGTAACAAGGTTGTAACAAGGTTGTAACAAGGTTGTAACAAGGTTGTAACAAGGTTGTAACAAGGTTGCAACAAGGTTGTAACAAGGTTGTAACAAGGTTGTAACAAGGTTGCAACAAGGTTGGAACAAGGTTGCAACAAGGTTGCAACAAGGTTGCAACAAGGTTGTAACAAGGTTGCAACAAGGTTGCAACAAGGTTGCAACAAGATTGTAACAAGGTTGCAACAAGGTTGCAACAAGGTTGTAACAAGGTTGTAACAAGGTTGTAACAAGGTTGCAACAAGGTTGCAACAAGGTTGCAACAAGGTTGCAACAAGGTTGTAACAAGGTTGGAACAAGGTTGTAACAAGGTTGCAACAAGGTTGTAACAAGGTTGCAACAAGGTTGTAACAAGGTTGTAACAAGGTTGCAACAAGGTTGCAACAAGGTTGCAACAAGGTTGTAACAAGGTTGTAACAAGGTTGCAACAAGGTTGGAACAAGGTTGTAACAAGGTTGCAACAAGGTTGCAACAAGGTTGCAACAAGGTTGCAACAAGGTTGCAACAAGGTTGTAACAAGGTTGCAACAAGGTTGCAACAAGGTTGCAACAAAGTTGTAACAAGGTTGTAACAAGGTTGTAACAAGGTTGCAACAAGGTTGTAACAAGGTTGTAACAAGGTTGCAACAAGGTTGCAACAAGGTTGCAACAAGGTTGCAACAAGGTTGCAACAAGGTTGCAACAAGGTTGCAACAAGGTTGTAACAAGGTTGTAACAAGGTTGTAACAAGGTTGTAACAAGGTTGTAACAAGGTTGTAACAAGGTTGTAACAAGGTTGTAACAAGGTTGTAACAAGGTTGCAACAAGGTTGCAACAAGGTTGTAACAAGGTTGCAACAAGGTTGTAACAAGGTTGTAACAAGGTTGTAACAAGGTTTGACCTGTAGAATGAAATTGAGAAGAGATGTATCTGATAAAGTAACATCGAACTCCACTACACCAAATTACCAGACTAGCTCAACCTCCTCCTCCCTCCCAACCAACTACGAAGATTTACTAAGACACCTTCTCTCCGACCCGCAACAGTGTTGGGTATTAACTTTAAATTAACTTAAATTTTATAATTCTAACTTAACTTTCACTTTTTATGACCTCTTATTGAAACTTTTTATTGTATTGAACTGCTATACATTGACTTTTACTTCTATTTTTAATCTATTTTTAATTGTACTGAACTGTTATAAAGTAACTTTTACTTTTTGTCTTCATTGTAAAAATAATCATGATCCCGCTCTATATTAATATGTTAGCACGTCATGTTCTTTCTACGTTTAGACTTACTAATTTATCCTGATGTTTGATTAAACTATTAAACATATTTACTAAGCAGGTTTTTTTTACCGCAGGTACCAAACAACGACACCCTAGTTGCGCGTCGGCTCAACGAGTTAGAAGACCTAGACGTCGCGCAGTGCGCAGACTTTGCGCTACACATCAGTTTGGTGGTCTTTCTGACAGTTATGATCGTCAGTTGTGTGTAAGTATTGTGTCAGTTGTGTGTAAGTACTGTGACAGTATTGTTTAACTACTGTGACAGTTGTGTGTAAGTACTGTGACAGTATTGTTTAACTACTGTGACAGTTGTGTGTAAGTACTGTGACAGTTGTGTGTAAGTACTGTGACAGTATTGTTTAACTACTGTTGTTGTTGTGAAACCAGCTTTTTTTTTTGCCGGTACCCTTAAGGGATTTCAAGTCAACTTATAAAATCAAAAAATTCACACACCAAACAATATCTCACTCCCATCGGGCAGAAATTAACCTTTAATAAATCATAGTAAGTAAATGTATAGTCTATAGAATATGCGTATGAAAACTTAGCCTAGTTAAATAAAACCTACTGGTGAGACTTCCTTCACGATTGCTATTCAGCAATGTATGGTCCAAAAATCATCACGGGAAATTATATGAGTAACAATCCCGTTGGCCATACTTCATCAGATCTCAAAAAGTCTGCACTTCGAGTTGCTATACCAAATTTGAAATTCAGCGAAATCACGCACTTTATTCTAAACTCTTAAACTCAGCCCAATTGCACACAAATCAACAAAGAAGATAACAGATTAATCTGAGTTAATTATCTCTTATATGCATTCACTACACTCAAAACTTTTCCGTCGTTAATATAGTGATACTTCGACGGTTCAGCAGATCTTTTCTCCTTTAATTGAGCTACAAGTTTTTTATGTGTTGCTTGTTCCTCTCGGTTTCTATCTGGAGCAACGAACCAGCTGTGGTAGGTTGTACAGAGGGACTTTTTCAAATGATTTGCTCTCGAGAGAGCCTCTTTCACTGATTCGTTACTATTCATAGTCACTTTGATTGGCCTCGGCCTACCATCCTCCCGTTTCTTCACACCGATACGATTAGCAGCTACAATATCAGAGTGGTTATTGTGTTGCAAAATCTTGTCCAGTACTTCATCTGCTAAATCAGCGGGGCACGTGGAGTAATCCTCCGGAACTCCGTGGACGATGAAGTTCCTGCTCCGAGCGTCGTCTTGAACAGCAGACTGTACTGCTTTCTTCACTGTCTTCAAAGTTGGAGCTTTATTGTCGCAGTTTTTCCTGGCAATTTCGCTCCATGTCTTCATCTCCGTTTTAATCTCAGTTTGAACAGTCTCCTGCACAGATTTTAGCTGCTCTCTCTGCACTTTTATCAGTTCTGACTTAACATAATCGATGGTACCGGCTGCAGATTTGCATAAAACAATGTTACTGATCAGTGATTTGGTTAAGTTCTCAATGAGTTTTGCCATCGTGTCCTTGTTACATTTCATGAGTGCTGCATGATTCAGTTCCTCAAATTTTTCAATATTGACAGCGTTCTTCGCAGTATTTGCAGTATTGACAGCTTTTAAAACTTTTTCCACTGATGAATGCAAAGCTTCCTCTTGTGTGTGTAGATCTGCTACGTTGAATTCCATTGTCAATTGTACAACAAACGGGCTGTACAGCACGGTGCTGTGTTAAAGTTGATAAAACAGCTGATAAGAGACGATTTAAACCGTTGCATAAGCTAGATAAAATGATTGCTACTGATAAAATGATTGCTACTGTGACAGTTGTGTGTAAGTACTGTGACAGTATTGTTTAACTACTGTGTCAGGTGTGTGTAAGTACTGTGACAGTTGTGTGTAAGTACTGTGTCAGTTGTGTGTAAGTACTGTGACAGTTGTGTGTAAGTACTGTGTCAGTTGTGTGTAAGTACTGTGACAGTATTGTTTAACTACTGTGTAAGCTATATAAATATTACTTGTCACACTCTTACTTGTCAGTAAGCTTTGTTCTCTCGCTGTCAGTATATGGTTTACTAAACTCAGTAAAATATTACTTACTTTATGTACTGAAAGGCTGGACCACCAGTCGAGCTGTCTCTTTTGTGATCTTTACGTTTCCTCTAATTCCCTCTTCTGACGACATTTCCATAAGACCTCCTCTTCCCGGCGGCATCACTCACACAACAAAGACGTCGTAAAAGTCACGTGTTAGCTACCCTCCTGATGGCCGTAACGTATCGAATAACGACAACTAGACTACACGATGGTAAATTAATAAGTTTAACAGACTGTAGCCATTGGTGTCGCCACACTGTCGTTGTTGGAACACTACTTTTGCACGACTGGGTGCTTCTCATTAAGCTCCTGATACTCTACTACTGCTGCTGCGAGTCTCAGATTCCTCAAATGTTAAGTTATTCATTACTTAATACTTAATACCGCAGCAGTATTTCGCATTTTAACGCTAAGTAACATTTAAATATTGTAAATGTTGCGCTGGCTTTTCCACCACTCGCAACTGTATTAACAAATTAGCCTCCATTTTCTGAACTTTCAAATAATACGCACTATAACATACTGATATTTATAGACTGGAATTCCTGATTACAGTCCTTAGTACGTTATGCACGAGTAGCCATGATGTAAATTATTGACTATTAGTTAAGGGCCAATGACCAGATTATTCAGCAAGTTCTAACAATACCGACTTTTCGATCGAAATTTGGAACTGTTGGTTAAAACGAGTTTTTAACTCTTTTTGTTGCAGATCTTAGGCAACAATCCCTCACATACTCGCTGGTTAGAAGCTAGCTATCACAAGATCTTAACACGATGTTATACACTATAATAATAATCAGCAATCAGTGGCATGTACAATCGTTTATAGTTATGAATATTGCAAAATAATGTAAAATTTACAGGATTAACTTAGAGTGCTGAATGTTTTACCAAATGACAAGCGCGCTGGGAAAGTGGTAGTAAAATGATCAACTTACCATTTTCCAAATTCACAACTTGGAGGAAATAACCACTAAAAACTGCTAATTTCACAGAATAATTAAAGTTTTATTAGAAGTCCAGTTCAAGTATTTGAGGCATGTGCGGTGGGCGGCACCGTATGACCGTACACAGTTCGTCAATAACTTAATACTAATTGGTATCTTAGCTTCTTAGCTTTGAGACTGGGAAAATCAAGCCTGTATAAGGAATGTGGATTCTTGCAGAAACCGGAAATTTTCAATCCCAATCTCGGATTCATTGAGTTCATTATTTGTCACAATTGTTATGTATTCTTGATTTACATTTTTAGTCCTACGGTACAAAATTACGTCGCTATTAAAAATAAAGAATGAAAAAGATTTCTAAGGAAATGTAACGCTGTGAAGCCAGATCAAATAGAATATATCGCGTCATTATTTAACTTACAAACGTACAGAAAAGTAGAATATTTTTATTCGACTGGAACTAGTTAACGTATATTAAAGTACAAATCTTTTCATTGTATCTGAACTCACAATTACTGACCCTTACAAGCCATTGTTCTCTAACTCTCTCTCTCTCTCTCTCTCTCTCTCTCTCTCTCTCTCTCTCTCTCTCTCTCTCTCTCTCTCTCTCTCTCTCTCTCTCTCTCTCTCTCTCTCTCTCTCTCTCTCTCTCTCTCTCTCTCTCTCTCTCTCTCTCTCTCTCTCTCTCTCTCTCTCTCTCTCTCTCTCTCTCTCTCTCTCTCTCTCTCTCTCTCTCTCTCTCTCTCTCTCTCTCTCTCTCTCTCTCTCTCTCTCTCTCTCTCGCTCGCTCTCTCTCTCTCTCTCTCTCTCTCTCTCTCTCTCTCTCTCTCTCTCTCTCTCTCTCTCTCTCTCTCTCTCTCTCTCTCTCTCTCTCTCTCTCTCTCTCTCTTTCTCTCTCTCTCTCTAAGTCTACACCACCCGCAAACCAGTTTAACTGTCCAGTCCGGAATATCAAAGCAGACCAAATGTTCACCCTAACCCCCCCCTTATGGTGTCCAGTGTCAATCATTATAACTTTAAGTAATATTTATTTGAACAATAGTGCCTAAAAATAAATTGAAAAACCAGGTCTGAACTCTGAACAAGTTTGTCTCCGATTACTTTTTCAATTTTCATACTAATGACACTAACAGGAGTAGAACTTGTGATGGTTGTTACCACTCAATTACCACCCTGGTACCACCCTGGTACCACCCTGGTACCACCCTGGTACCACTACTCACTGCTCACCCTGTGTTATTGCTATAAATCTTGATCTCATAAACACAGACATATCGGCTCTGTTCGTTAGACCTCTGTCCCACTACGTACCAGATGTAACCCTGAGAAACAAAGGTGGGAGGTGCTGTTGATTATCCTAATTATCAAGTGATTATCAAGTGATTAGCTTCACTTCTCTCTCCCTACTAGATACATCTCTCTCTCTGGTTCTAATAATTGATCGTATCTAGTACGTGAGGGTGGAAATAGGCTGGTAATCCACCTAATTATCTAAATAGAGTAGGATATAATCTGGCAATAGAACAGGTAATATGGCCTGGTGGCCTGCTGGGCCATATTACCCGTTCCAGGTAGTGCTAGTCTAGAAAGGTCAAACAGGGTCTCTGCTATAATTGATCTTATCTTAAATTGTGATCACCAAGTTCACAAAATGGACCAGTACTGCATTCAGAGAAAGTGGGACCCGTGAACGAACCCATGAAATTATCACTCTTTATCTTTTCTATTGTTTCTCTCTATGACCCTGACTAAATCTCTTCCTGGTCATTTTACGGGGTCATCAAACCAAAAATTATAATTTAATAACTTTCTAGACAAATAATAAGATAAATTAGATTCTAAGAGCGGTAATAAGATTACATTTCAGATACGTGTGCCGGAAGCCAGCCCGGAGAAAGATTAAGACTATGTCAGTAGAGGTACAAACTGACGACAATATCGAGATCTACCTTGTAAGTAACAAAACATTGTAATTATTCTGTAACTTAATGAAACATGGGATTTATCCTGTCAGTAAATATAATGATGTATTTATTTATCCTGTAAGTAAATAAGTAGAGACTCATCTAGTAAGTAGATCAATTATAAACATTTGGTCCTTTGAGAAGTAAGGGTATTAGAAGATAGGCTTGTTTGTCTTGTGATCATTAACAGATTTACGGAGACAGCTGTAAGAGATATATATATATAGCTATATAGGGTAGTTACTTTATTAACGCGGTGGTCTATTAATAGTCTCAAAAAGACCATTTTAAATGACCATTTAGGGGTATAAATTTGTACTTCTCCAGTTCTCCAGTCTTGTCATACCTGTCACAATTAGGAATGCCAAATTAACATGCGGAATTTAATGCTTTTGGTACTTGCAAATTGGCCAGGTAATTTAATGGTTTGCAGGATGAATTACGCACAAACAACATGCAAAATTTGAGATCACGAGTATCTTAATTAACTGAACTGTTGAACTTACCAAACGACCAGGAGTCTTTTTAACATTTGGAAGTTTATGCGTTAAAATTGTTTGTCGGGTTGCAGGCAACCGAGATTTTTAACTGCAATCATAAAAAGTCTGGTGTTAGTGTATTATCTCTCTGTGTAAAGTGTAAAGTGTATTTAAAACCCGAACTACTGCAGCTATGCAGTGCTAAGTATTCACTAAGTACGACACTTACCTCAATCACACTATTCACTTACAATTTACTTACACACAATATATAATCTAACTAATTTCCTCCTCTTCTCAGAAGGATACTCACACTTCCTCCTCCCCGACCTCATCCCCGCCGTTAGAGCGGGGATTAGAGCGCGAGCGCCAGAAACTCATGCGCCCGCTGAGCGAGGTGCGGCCGGCGTTCGTGCGCCAGGTCTCTGCGTCTGAGACGCGCAACCACATCCCCCCGTCACCGTTAACAACCAGTGACCTTGCTACCTCAATTTGTAGTCTTCAGTCAGCGACTTCATCTCATCTCAGGTTTCTTTCAGTTAAAGAAAATTTATTTTTATTCGGAATCAAATTATGTGAAGTACATTTCAAAAAAATCAGGTACTGGTTCTGGTGTAAATATACGTAAATATATGGTGTATATCAAGTATAAGTAATTTTAAACCTTCAAATTTGAGTACCGATAATAATTAATTTATCTTTTCTTTTTAATTAGTGAGTGGCATCACGAAATTTTAGAGTGATATCACCTCTTTTTAAAAGTTGTATATAAATTGATAAGGGGGTATTATCTCTTTTCATTAGTTTTATAGAAGTTAGTAAGGGGGCAGATAGTGGTAAGCACTAAGTCGTTGATCGAAACACAAAAAATTCTTCAATTTATTTCAAGTAGTGTTAAAAGTATTAAAAAAGTATTAAGTTTTATATAAATTAATAAGGGGCATCCCAACAAAGCAGATCTGGCTTCATAATCATGGAATGTTAGCAGCGTTGATGTGAAGAAGCCTTTGATAGAGCAGGGGAAGGGTTTTTGCAACGTAATTAGAGTCAATAAAGAGGAGGGGAGGAGGGGGTAGGACCAACTGTGACGTCCAACAGCTCCAACTGGGTCCGGTACTCAGAGGATGCAGGAACTTTTACAGTTTCTTCTTTAGTTTTAGACCCAAACATTCCAATCCTCATTAATAAGCCGCCAATTGTTAAACTCTACTACTATACACTTGGTATGAAATTACTGAAATCTGACAAGGCTCGCACGTATTGGTCGAAGGTGGGCTCAGATCGACATGGTAAATGTAGAGGGGGGGTGACTACGGTGGAGGATGGAACCAGGGAAATTATTCTAGTGCTGTCTAGCTTTTTGCATTTGGACACGGGGAAACACAAGGCTTTAAATATTTGTTCATATCGTGAGAGATACAAATTATTTGTTACACAGTAGTGTTGAAATAATAAAACTTACTTAATTCCGTTACTTACTTAAGGTGGCTTCATTGTCGGAGTATGCATGTCTCCACAGTTTTCGTCATAGCATATTGGGGGGGGGGGGGGGGGGGGTAGGTGAGAGGGGGCGGAAGGGGGAAGAAGGGGGATACTCTTATGATTCATAAGTATCTCCAGTTAGCTAGTATCAGTCCCAGTAAGTCCTGACTATCCTCTACTTCTCATAGTCCATAAGTAGGCTCCCAGAATATATTACAGTTTTAACTTTGTCTATAAAACTAAAATCAGTTCCCCGTATCTCGATAACCCCTCATACCCTCCAGCCAGGCTCGCACACCTCGAATGATAAGTTTCCCATGTCTGTTTATCACTCATACCCAGTACCCAGTCTTTATCAGCTTTACTTTCAGTGAGCAACCAGTCTTTTTCAATCATTAGAATATGTTATGAATATCCTGATAAGGTAATTATCATAATTTTCATCAAGGTAGTACCCGCAGTTATTTAACATAAACAAGGTGTGAAGGGGCTCTGGAAACATATAAATTATATGAGAGATTTAACATGAACAAGGGTTAGAGAAAAATTAAACAAGGGTTTAAATCTAATATCTGTACAGGTTATCTTCCTCAGTTTGCAAGGGTTACAATTTGAACCTTCCTGAGAATCCGCCTGTAAAACCTTATTCACACAATCCTTCACCTGCTTTGTTTCATTCTTCCCGCGAAATACAGCGCTCTCTCTCTCCCTCTCTCTCTCTCTCTCTCTCTCTCTCTCTCTCTCCCTCTCTCTCAGTGTTAACCTTCTCAGTTCCATCTAATCGCTAGTTGGAATATTCCACGAACTCTTATTAGGATCACACCATTCTCTTATCTTACATGTAATTAACCTTATTTACATTCCTTTCCAGAAATCATAGAAAGTTGTTAAAGAAAAGTACGACGATGGTAGCATTTCCCTCAAACACGCTGCAGAATATTCTGACTAGTGACAGCTACAGAAAACTTGCCAGTAACAATACTATATCGGTAAGTTGGTTTTCTTAATTAAATCACGATTTGTGTCTTGTCAATTGTATTATATCATACCTCAGTTTATTTAAAAACTTCAGCCTTATTTAAAAACATCAGCCTTCTCTAACGTTCGTGCATAAACTGCATATATTCTAGTTGCTAGCCCTTAAATATTTAGTATTTTATAGACAGAAAGAATACAAATGTAATCTGTAACATTGTTTGAAGTTATTATATTACTTCAGTCATATAGTCCACACTACGGACAAAATTATTGGCTCGTTTGTTATTTGATTACGAATTTCCAATTGACTCACTACTGTCCTAAATTCTGCACCACCATGGTTTTACTAATGCTATGTGTTTTGGAAACTGTTCCAAATTAGATTTTCTGAAACCGTATATGGTTCTGGCAATGTTAACTTATCTCTGGGAGTCTCGACTTAGCCAACTAATTCCATTTCTGATCTTATTCCCTACTTTACAAATCACGGGATGAGCTTTTAGAGACGCCGTCCATTTTATCAAGTCTAATTAATACGCTAAAACTTTTTATCTATGACTGACTGAATGGAAATTAGCCCCACTTCTCCAGAAGTGACGAGTGGTATTTAATAATCAGATAATTATGATAAACGAAAATATTCTGCCCATTTTGTAAAGATTTAATTGGAACTTTATGAAACCCATTCGTTGTCTGATTACGGGAAATTATTGATCTGACGAGTGGTGTGAGGTCATGAGGTTTGAAAGGGATGGTTCATGTTCATTTCGTCAGAAACTAGTGGGGAAGAGGGTTTCGGTAATAGCCGAAACATTTACGCTAATTTCACACAATTATCATTCATTGTATTACTGACGTAAATGAGGTCTAAATATGGTTAAATATTGCTGACGTAATAGCATGAACTGGCCCTTATCAATTGTGCGGCAAAATTTTAGATTCCAAGATACCCACGATATTGAGAAACGCGACTTTGTCAAAAAAAAATTCAAGAATCAAGAATAAAATTACCTTTTCATTCTTTGTCCGACCGTAGTTAGTGTTTTAACCTGAAAAGTTAAAATAATCCCGGCCCTTTTGTAGATCATCTAATCAGAAGATCACGTTATCTTCCATTCAGAGCATCAACCATTGTCCATTGTTTGAGATCTATGAAACTTAATGCCCTTATCTTAATGTAGCCTTACAAAAGTCTCCCCTGCCTATCGCACGACAATTATAACAGTAACCTTGTGGCAGAGTTAAACAATATTGAATTCATGGTGGTAAGATTTATGGTTTTAAACAAGCGGCACAACGCCTTTGAGGGTGTTATCAACCCTGCCTAAACAAATACAGAACTCTACTTGATACCACCCTGGAAACGTAACATGTTGCTCTGATGCGTGACTACCGGCCCTGGCGGCCGCGAAAATTAATTTAAGTTAATAAATTTGAGTTAAGCGTTTGTGACATGGGAGTCATTTTGAGCCACTGTAATCGAGATGAGTAATAATAAGTATTCTGCTAAAATTATATGGCTTGGGTTTCTAACTAAGTTAGATCAGATAATAATGACAGCTTATAATGTTGATGACCAAATTTGAACATAATCCCTGCAACCACGTTTCTGCGACTGTTCTGCAGAAAACTGTCAAAGTCCGAGTTCCGCTGCTTCCTGCTGACTTTAGTTCTCGCTCCTTGGCGGAAATGACGCAATAAACCAGTTACCCTACCTACCTTTATCCGCTGATGACTTTTCTATCTGCACAAGTATTAAACTGTTAGACAGTGTGCTATATGCAGGGCTGCGGTAAGATGTCAACTAGTAAGGAATCTAGAATCCTTATAACTTACCTCTAGTTTCAGTACAGGGTTATCACATTTAAACTTTTAGGTTAAGCGCCCGACGCGAAAATTTCACATAAATATAATGTAAAAAGTATGGTAGCGTCTTTAAGAATTTTGATGCGCGCACTTGCGCGTATATGCAAGTTGTCAAGTTTGGCCGGCGATTAATTGAAGTCAAACGTTTCTTTTAATCATGTATGTGTGATTCCGTTTTCCAATTAATTTCTCTCAGTCCTTAGTAATTATATACTATCATCAGATGACTTAACATATTACTTTTGACTTTTATTTGTGTAAAAAGTAAGTGAAATATGTATTCAGACCGCAGTTGACGCCGCGGACCCATTAAACAGAAGACGTAGAATTACTGTAGCAACTCAGCCGGGCCTGAACCTCAATCACACTAATTCAAGTCATAATCTGACCAGTCATAACATAACACTGGTAAATACGTGGGCATGGAAATATATCGCCATCTTTGTGGGTCAGCAGAAAACTTTGAATATTATTGCAGGTATGCTACCGGTCCCTTCCGGCAGTCGAAACTGAATTCTCGATTTTCGACTGCATGCATATAGTTGAAACCGAATCTAGCGTATGAATCTAGGGTATGGGAACATGTTATGTAGCAATGTTGCATAGCTATTGTCTGTACTACTTGTTTGTATGGCATGTTGTTGCAAATGAGAATTTCGTTTCGATCGACTTCGACAGCCCCATTTTAATGGCCCATTAAGACGGCCCATCAAAATGGCCTCGAGGGGACTGGTAGCATGCGTGGTATACGTGTAGAAAAGCACTCCGTTAATTCATGTAAAACTTGGTGTTTCTTACTCTTCAATTGTATGCTTGAATGTTTTAATATTTGTTCATTCATAAACCTGCCTACTTCATCAACTTCTAGATGTACTCTTTGCTCTTTTGTACTCCCTATTCGATTCAATGCATGTTTTAAATTCAATTTTTGTTGTTGATGTTTCCTTTTCAAGGATGTTTATTTTTACGCACGATCGTTGGGAATATACATCATTATTCTGATTAATGTGACCTTAATGTTAATTGTTAATACCCTCCCATAATTTATATACTAACCCAAGTTGTTTCCAAGGGTCCACCAGCTTCTGCCTACAGATATACCTACAAACCAATCAGTGGAGTATTTTCAACTTCCGACTCCAACCTGTCCGAGAAATCGTCTCCAAGAAAAAAGGATCATACGCGATTTGTGACGAGGCCGGTCGACTAGACGCTTTTAATGTTAAGTAAATCTTAATAAAATAGTTTGTTTAGTAATCAAACCGAGAGACGATTAGGTATAGTCATAATTATATTTCATATGAAAATTTATAATTCATATGAATGATGAACCATGATAATGAGCTGGATTGAAGAAATCCAGTTTTGCACTTTTTTCGATGATGTTATCAAACTTAAGAAATTAATTGGTTATATTGTTTAATCATTTTTGAATTATCAAATTTTATTCTAAGTTTTTACATTGAACTATATTTTTCTATTTATTGAAATTGAATCCGAAATCTTCGGTGCAAATGATTAGGATTGAATAATTGAAAAGGTCATTTTAAAAACAGTAGAACTGTTCATTATTTTATTTATAAGTTTACTCATAATATAAAATTCTATTTGTCGACTTATCATAACATCGTATACCACAAACATATATAAAACAGCAAATATTAGATAAAAAAGGTCATTCACAAAGCTAAACTCGAACCGGAATCTAGCAACAGGCTGAAATGTCCGGATATAAACTATAATAATGCTCACAGTGCCCCTCCAAATACGCCGGACAGACCTACAGACCCTTGGTCCACCGCATGAAAGAACACGAACGATGTTACAGACTCAACAACGCCATCGACGAATCCACAGACAGAATCAAATCAGCCCCTGCACATCATGCCCTGACCACCGGCCACACCATCTCCTGGAACAACATCGAAGTCCTCAAATCCCTCACCTCACGCTCCCAACTTGACCTCACAGAACACGCAGCTATACAAATACGACAACCAGCTATGAACAGAACAGACCGCGCACCCAAATGTAGTTCCCTCTGGGACCCCATTCTTCCTAAAATTGCCAAATCCTTAAAGTCCAGACCATCTGGCATTTCCTTCTCAGCCTCAACAAAAGACTAAATTTTTATTGACATTGTACTGTAATTTTTCACTTTCCCACCCACACCTCCCCCACCCTCCATCCCTGACACCACTCAATCACATATAAGCATTGTCCACCACATCACATTCAGCTGACGACGATTAACACATGTTTATTGAAAGCTTCTACAAGTTAAATCATCGTATCTCTTATATGTTTTAAACCCAACTCCACTCAGTTATAATAACGCATCTTGATGTGAAGGTCGTCTGAACTCCTCTTCCTTCTCTCAGAGATAACACATTGTATCTCAGAGATAACACGTGGTCTCTCCTGAGTTGTAAAGCAGATCTGTTGCTTGGCAACCAAACGCTTTAGTGAACTCAGCACTTGATGCAGCTACCGCGTTCAACCTGGTAGGGGAGTGAACAAAAATAAAACTTGTTTGCTGTTTTATGTTCGGAACTACACTCTCATAATGGTGAATTATATTCAGTTTGGAACAATAAATGGTGATAATAAATCTAATAAGGACCAAACTTACAGTTTGTGGTAGTAGCTGTGATGATCGTATTTGGCGGAGCAGTAGAACTGGCCGACTGCCAGATAGAAGACACGGTCACTACTATCAGGTAGTCCCGGAGCGGACTGACTGCCCCTCATGTTCCTTTTGAACGCCTGGTTTTAGTGTTTGTTAGATTTCTGAGACTCATTTAAATTTTGCTATTTATTAAGTTGGACCCCTAGCTAAATGCTTATGCTGCTCTATATTTTTCTTCTCGTGTGAACATTTCGACAGAATAAGCTTTGTACAATCAAATTCTTGGCCCGTGGAATGTGTTTCACGCTTAAGTGGGCAACACCGTGTGATTTGCGCTCCAATATTCTTTGGCCATTGTTAAAAGCCGCAGTTTGTTGAATTTCCGAGGAAAATTGAACCAAATTCTTAATCCTGGAGGGGAATATTTAAAACATATAAGTGATACGACAAACGATTGGATTGTAGGGGCCTGTTAAGTACGCGAAATATTTCACACATTAAATATCTCAGAAAGTTAAAACACTGGTAATTTCTCAAGATTTCCGGATTTGTTTAATAAAGTAAAGAAACGTTCGAGAACAATTTTATTTTACCTCTTAATTAATGTGACAGAAAACAAAAGCTGTTATCACGTGATATGTTACCTTGTAAGAGGCCCTGGTAGCGATAATGTCGTTGTGCTGATACTCCACACCACTGTTCCATCCCACACTCAACGGTATCTGAAATAGCAAGTTCTACTGATGCAGATTCTAATAGCAAGTTGTACGTATGCATCTAATTTAAATAATGACTTGCAGTTTTGTGTTAAAGTGGGAATGTTGGGCTTCACTAGGACTACCGTGCAAACTTCCTGCAAACCAGCTCTAGTTTGTACCCTATCTCCAAAGTGCTTAATTTACATGTACATACCGGTTCAGGTTCCCCCGGGGGCAAGTAAGTAACATTAGCAATGTAATCGTTACACCCTTTAGCTAGTTTGTAAGCTGCTATATCTGCCTCTGTTGCGTTGGTTGGTAATATGTTACCCTTGTCATCAGTATACGTCCTCCCTGGAGGGTTAGCTGGTTATTTAAATATCTGGTGAACAGCTTTGATAGCATCATACTTGGAACTGTCCAGTAGTAACACTGACACCCACGACGCTAGTCATTCTGATCATAGCCTTTGTTGGCTCATTTCTCTACTTCTAGTTCTACCCTGGTCAAGATCACATTGAATTCTAGGAAATATTGGATAATAGTCTTTTAAGTTTAATCAAGAGATTCGCTGGCAAGATTAAGAATGTCAAAATGAAGAAGATTGAATCTTGGAGCTTGCTGTTGACAAGTTGCACGCTTAATCACGACAATTGTTGAGAGATCATATTATGTACTTAGCCGTCCTAATTAAGATCTACGTCGTGGAATAGGTGCAAGGTCGAACTGGAAATTGCTTCATATTATTTGCTAATTATGTGTCAATATAACTGGAATTGAACACGAATTGTAACAAAAAATGTTGGTCTATCTGAAATGTGAATGATAAAGCTGTGTTAGACATTAGATTAGTATTAACTAGTACGTCTTAAGAACAATGAACGTGCCATCGTCCTCAAGAGTAAACACGTTAACAGTCACCACGGTAACAGTCACCACGGTAACGGTCATCTCGGTAACGGTCACCACGGTAACAGTCACCACGGTAACAGTCACCACGGTAACAGTCACTACAGTAACAGTCACCACGATAATGGTCACCACGGTAACGGTCACCACGGTAACAGTCACCACGGTAACGGCCATCTCGGTAACAGTCACCACGGTAACAGTCACCACGGTAACGGTCACCACGGTAACAGTCACCACGGTAACGGTCATCTCGGTAACGGTCATCTCGGTAACGGTCATCTCGGTAACGGTCCTATCGGTAACGGTCATCAGGGTAACAGTCACCACGGTAACAGTCACCACGGTAACGGTCATCTCGGTAACGGTCATCAGGGTAAAAGACACCACGATAACGGTCACCACGGTAACAGTCACCACGGTAACAGTCACCACAGTAACGGTCATCTCGGTAGCGGTCATCAGGGTAAAAGTCACCACGGTAACAGTCACCACGGTAACGGTCATCTCGGTAACAGTCACCACGGTAACGGTCATCTCGGTAACGGTCATCAGGGTAACAGTCACCACGGTAACAGTCACCACGGTAACGGTCATCTCGGTAACGGTCATCAGGGTAACAGTCACCACGGTAACAGTCACCACGGTAACAGTCACCACGGTAACAGTCACCACGGTAACGGTCATCTCGGTAACAGTCACCACGGTAACAGTCACCATGGTAACGGTCATCTCGGTAACAGTCACCACGGTAACGGTCATATCGGTAACGGTCATCAGGGTAACAGTCACCACGGTAACAGTCACCACGGTAACGGTCATCTCGGTAACGGTCATCTCGGTAACAGTCACCACGGTAACAGTCACCACGGTAACGGTCATCAGGGTAAAAGTCCTATCGGTAACACTAACTTACAATCGTCTTCAAGAGCATAGACCATGTAGTATCCGACCCAGGCTCCCATCCCTCCGTAGTTGAAAGAGTCGGGCATGTCGTGTGAGTAAACAGGAGCGAACAAGTAGTAGAGGGGTATGTGCACGTCGTTACCGTGTAGATAATAGGACCCTGTGGTGTCACCCATATAGGTGTCCCATCTGGAGATGGATAGTTAGCTTAACAGCAGTGGTTAATTATTATAAGCTATAAATCAGATTCTAACCATTTGTATTTTAGCCGAATCCCGTGAAATTTTCGTTTTGACGAATCTCTAACTAAACGACGAGTTTTTAGCAGTCTCTTTTTCGGATGGATACATGATAATATGTGAACCTAAACCAGTTCTTACCCTTCTCCTCCGGTCAGTGTTTCCTCGTAAGACATTAATAAAGCTGTCTTTCTAAACTTGGCCATGTGCATCACGTTCTGTAGATACTGTGTGGGATCCAGACTAAACTCCTGGTGAGATTATTTAAATTATCTGCTGTGAAGTAGAGTTAGAATAATCACAATCTTATCAAATAATATATATGGACACGTTCATTTGAGTTTGAGGATATTGGTAAATATAAGTGACCCTATTAAAAGGCACAGTGTAGTTGACTTTGTCACACTATGAAATTACACAAACCCTTGATGGTTAGGATAATCGTCTCATCCTCTAGGCTAACTTTGTCACATAACGATATCTTAATCAGGTGATAAGATATCGCTTAAATACGGCCGGCACGGAAATGGTTACATTGTCACACTATAAACATGTGACAGAGTAAATATGGACCCCTTGCTGCCGTTTTTGACCAAAATTTTGAGTGTCCAGTTGATTGGATGTGTACATATGACCATTACCTACATATTTGACGACTTTTTTCGTTAGATGGTGCACTCAGGTTTACTCTGTCACACATTTAAGAAAATATGTGAACAATGTTTAGGGAACCCTGATAAGCAATGCTGAGTAGTGTAGGTTTAGTTAATGGCCTGGAAGTGCTAGGAATTGTTATTATATCATATAGTCGCAAGGAATTAAAACACAGAAGGCACAGACAAGTTTACTTTGTCACATAATCTTGATGATATCTGAACATGTGTGAAATTGAACAAATAATGATATACCAGCTTAAACCCTTTGTATTACGTACTATGGATCAAACAACACTGCTAGTACCATGCACCAGTCACATAAATCATTAACGTGTGGTAATATGTTAACAGTGTCACAATTAATCTACCACAACATGGTCAAAAATAGGGTAATTTCGTCACAAAAAAATTATCATAACTCTGTCAGCTCCTTGCTGGCAAAATAACTAGTTTATCGACATTTTTTTGATGATAAAATTACATAGTATTCTAATAGAGGTATAGTTCTTCAAAATAGGGGCAAGACATGTTTACTTTGTCACATCAGTTATTATAAGAGTTAGGTAATCGTTATCAGATTAACCGATCTTTTTCGTAGTATGGATCAATAAATATAGGCAATAAAGCATCCTAATTCCTATGCCAATTTTAACACACTATCTTGATATTGTTGGGGCAGGAAAAGTTAATTTTGTCACATGTTCAGTGTCTTTGACAAATTAATCTAAAATTGTTAAACTTGAGCTCTGATGTTCTGGACAACATTCTAACAATCGTTTCTGAAAGAATGTTGAATTCTAATACAGTTATAGATCTTCAAAATAGGGGCAAGACATGTTTACTTTGTCACATCAGTTAATATTAGAGTTAGGTAATCGTCATCACATTAAAATATATTTTTTTGTAGTTCGGATTGATTTCTTTAGGTAATAAAGCAGCCTATGCTAATTTTTACATACTGTCTTGAAATTGTTGGGGCAGGAAAAGTTAATTTTGTCACATTTTTAGTGACTTTGACAAATTTAACCTGAAATTGTTAAACTCGAGCTCTGATGTTCTGGACAATATTCTACCAACCAGCTGTGTGGTGACAAGTTGGGAACTGTGCCGCATATTCTGGCTGGTTGTCCTGTGGCACTAAGTCAAGGGAGATACCGATGGCGCCACGATAAGGTGCTTAAACAAATAGCAGACCAAGTGAAATTCCATTGTGAGCGGAGAGTCAACAAGAGGAAGAGCTCTTGTGTCACTCGGAAAGCCATTGAGTTTGTTCCAGCAGGAGGGAGGTTTAAGGAGGTGAAGAGGTCGAAAGTCAGTGAGTTTGGGATTTTGAGTGGGGTCACTGATTGGATAGTATTAGCAGACCTGGATGAGCAGCTGAAATTCCCGTCGGATATAGCAACGACCAGATTAAGACCAGATTTGGTTCTTTTCTCGAAAGCTTCCAAGAGAGTAATCTGGTGGGAGCTTACAGTACCGTCGGAAGAGAGAATAGCTGCATCCCATGAGCTGAAGCTTGATCGGTATAACAGTCTACAAGCGGAAATACAAGCTAATGGGTGGTCATGTTTCAGCTTTGCTGTTGAGGTTGGTGCTAGAGGTGTGGTCGCAGCAAGTTTGGAGTGTGCATCAAGGAAGATTGGTCTGACTGGGAGAGCCCTCAAGAAGTTGGTCAGAGATTGTGGGAAGGATGCAGCCCATTGTTCAAGATGGATTTATCTGCTGTCTAGGAAAAAAGAGTGGGAGATGAGAGCTGTTTGAGCTTTATGACTTCACCTAACAGCCAGAGGTGCCATAAGCTAACTCGTCGTAAATTGCGAGCTCTAGCAGGTATCCTCGGGTGATTGTCAGATCAGATGGTGGTCCAAGAGAGACTGCTGGGGCACCTGACAGAAAACCGTATCGCAATGAAAGCCCCGAAACGGTGTCAGGTTTGTAACTGAAGATTCTGATCAAGCTCAGGGTTGAGTCTACACAGTGTCGCCACTTGCCGATGCCAGTTGATGCGAGAAGACACGGATGTAAGTGGAAAGTTATGTCTAAGAAACAGCGTGTGGTTCGGGTGCCGGTTGAACGCATGTAAAAGGGAGGGTATATCCGTATTTCGCTGCTAGTGATGCAGTCCTTAGCCCGGTAGCTAAGGCTTCCCCGTTTCTCGCTCATTTGTGCTCCGATGGGCTTGTGACCTCTGCGGGGGTCAAGTGCAGGATGAGGGACATGGCTGACCAGGAGAAGGTTGTTTTTGGGAGATAGAGTATGGTTGGTTTGGTGTTGTGCCTTCGCAGTTTAACTGTATCTTTACTCTATTTAAGGTAATAAGGCAGCCTATGCTAATTTTTACACACTATCTTGAAATTGTTGGGGCAGGAAAAGTTAATTTTGTCACATTTTTAGTGACTTTGACAAATTTAACCCAAAATTGTTAAACTTGAGCTCTGATGTTCTGGACAATATTCTACCAATTTTTTCTGAAAGAATGTTAAATTCTAATAGAGTTATAGAATATATAGATCTTCAAAATAGGGGCAAGACATGTTTACTTTGTCACATCAGTTATTATAAGAGTTATTACTTATTATAAGAGACTATTTCATTATATAATCATTGTTTTTAACCTATTTACGATTTCGTTTAATTTTTTGTGACAATGTAAACATCAACTGATCTTAACTTGCATCAACTACATTGTCATCATGTAAAGTTTTCCCGTCTTTCAAACCAAAATCAGATATAAATAATTCGCCCAAAATTTTAAATTCCATATATTGTGACAGAATTAACCTCATTTCCCAATAACCAAGTGCCTGTATTAGCTTACTATTCAAAGCAACATATTTTAAGGCTATGATTGGTACTCCGTACTTGGTAGATCAACCATCAAATAATGAGTAAAAAGGGTTTTGAGGACACCTCACAGTAGAATAGAGGTATGGTATTCTGAGTGTGACAAAGTTACCTAAATATTGCCTTGTAACCGTTCGATCCGTGCCCTTTAACCAATGTTGTATCATAATTGTTAGATTGACCTAATCTACTATGTTCCAGACCAAGGAATGATAATTAGACAACTGCAGTTAACTAAGTCACACAAAATGTGACATTTGAACCATTATAGTGCCTAACAACAATAGATTTTCTTTCTGAGCAGTGCATATGGGAGTATGGGTTACGCGGCTAATGTTCAGAACTTCTGAACGTGCTAGGTTAATAGATGTCAAAATTAAGCCACTATCGTCAAAAACGCTATTATTTTTGTTTACCAATATCCTCAAACTCAAATGAACGTGTCCATATATATAGAAAATGGATAATATTGTTGACAACATGGCTGAGCTCATGAATCGCGCATTAATGACTTTAGGGCATCATGTCATTACATTATGTCATTATGTACCATTCATCTTAAAACTAATAAAATCTTTATATTGATATTTAAAGATTTCAGACAGCCAATAAAATATTACAATATCTAGAACTATTGTATTCTAATTAGATTACTACCAATAAAAATAGTAACGTTTGTTATAAACGCAAACCATTGTGTTATAGTACAGATTGACTTGTGTCTGGTTGAGCACCCAATCAGGATACCCTATCTTCTCATGAAGGTGGGTTACTCTGTCTTTCAGCTGTTTAGAAAAGGGCGCTGAGAGGGTGTCTGACAGGGCATCTATTGATCCAATCAGCTCCGTCTTAATGTTTTCAAATATCACTTTTGCCTGAAGTGAGAATTTACAACAATTGTAATGTTTTATGGTCATAAGACAGTTGCTATGGCAACTGTAACGGTATCTTACTGTTTGTCCGGCGACATTAATATGAACTAACCGCAATGACATAAACTAAAAATAAAGTCACGTAGGCTCGTCGAAAACAATCGTCCTCAAACAGGAAATCAAAACACCGCTAATAAGAATTTTAAACATAACTACCTGGAGTGGGTATCTGTTAAAACAACAACACTTAAGTTATTTACTAAAAACTCAACCTCTCGGTAAACTCAAATGAAATTACCGCGGTTTTGTCAGCAATGAGCCCTCTATCGAGCATGGTTCGAGCAGTAGCCCAAGGCATCAGCTTCTCTGTTACGGTGGCACATTGGTAGTATAGTGGTGACGAGTCGTAACTGAGAGTAACACGTGTTAAGGGTTGGGTATTTACTAAGGTAACTGTCGTCTGCCACCAGGGTAGTAACCGTAACTGGGGTTACAGTCATCAATGTTACAGTCACCAGGGTTACAGTCACCAAAGTAGCAGTTACCACAATAACAATATTCAAAAGTTCAATAATTCACCCCATACCCCTGTGCAGAAGTTTGTTTTAAAAAAGCACTTTAACGACAAAGCAAATTTTAATATCAATGCAATCTGACCAGGAAGAAGTCAACAAGTCAATATATTGAAACTTACGAAACCCAGGCATTATAATTATTTAGCATGCAGACATAAACACTGCCTACATGCATTTTGCATATGCATGTTAATAAAGTAATAATGACTGTAGCACCAGTAGGGCCCGGTCGAGCAATTATGCTGCAGATTGTGGGGTGGATATGACTGCATGAACTAGCAGTCATATTGGGCTAATCACAATCATCCTTTATTTAGTATAGATAGTAGGATTAGATACTGTGGCTTCACCAAGTGGCACCAAGGTTTTATATAATATTCCATTTCTCTCAGTTTATTCTCTAGATCTCCCATCTAGCAAGCAGTTTCCTTGTCGGTTTTCTCAACCCCTCGTTTTTAACTTGTCTAAGATTTAACGTATTCGCCTCGGCTTATCAACGGCTAATCAATGTATTCGCCTCGGCCAATCTAATCTTTAAGGCTTAAACAGCCAATTATTGTTTTGCTTTCTAGCGACCTAGGGTTTATAGTGCCTCTTTTCAATTGACTAATTGAACAGTATCTAACCTGCTCAGTACAGTGTATACAACAACTATACCACCTAGTTATGTCACCCACGTCACCTATAACCACCTATAAAACACCCCATTCTACCCCTTGGTAACTTACTCCCATCGTTTGTGAGCGCTTATTTGTCCACTGATATGTTCAGGTAGGTGGTCTGCTAGATTATACAGTAGACTCATACCCATGTAGTTCGCTAGCGTCCTGAAAACGTAAATTATAAAGGATATTAGTATAGGTCATACTTATCATTATATGATTAGCTTATAAAAGTAGTCCGGATCAAATTATAACCATCACATCCATGATATACTGTAGAGTTTTAGTTTATATATTTAATTTATTAATTAGTTTATTAATTAGTTAATCAATTAGTTAACATTATATTAGTTTATCTATTAGTTTATATATTTAATTTATTAATTAGTTTATTAATTAGTTAATCAATTAGTTAACATTATATTAGTTTATCTATTAGTTTATATATTTAATTTATTAATTAGTTTATTAATTAGTTAATTAATTAGTTAACATTATATTAGTTTATCTATTAGTTTATTAATTAGTTAATCAATTAGTTAACATTATATTAGTTTATTAATTAGTTAATCAATTAGTTAACATTATATTAGTTTATCTATTAGTTTATTAATTAGTTTATTAATTAGTTAATCAATTAGTTAACATTATATTAGTTTATCTATTAGTTTATAATGGTACCTGTCTTGAGTATGGGAGATAAGTTTGGACAGATTTTGAAAGTATTGAGCTTCCTCAATGAATATAGGCTCGTACTCGGCTGGAGCCAGCTTCTCCGGATACATGGCAGTGATATAATCCTTCCAATTGACCTGATCAGCAATATTAGAGAGGTATATGATTTAAATAGTTATATTTATATACAGTTATAACGTCAACTTTTCGGGGTAACAAACCCTCTCCTTGCCTGATGTTTAACTCAGCTGCGTTTCTGACGCAAATGCAATCTTAAAGTCTTAAGGTATACGTGACATCTTTAAACTGACCACTTTGGAGTTTATTTCTCTGGCAACAAACCAATAAATAAGATATCTAATATTGGTAAATCATGAAATGCACATCCACAACCTTTAGATATTACATATTATGCTCCGAGAAAATAAAATATAGGAGTTATCGCAATAACTTGTCAGAGAAATATTACGAATTATTTGAACATTTATAGGTTTAAAAGCTGATCAAAGAAACTGGTAAAGATAAAATGATCAAAATTACTGTAACAAAATAAAAATTTATCTCTCAAGATGTAACCTTGGTAACAGGCAGGTAGTCTCTGTAGAGTTTCTTTAGTTTTAGTAGTTTAGGCTCGTAGATATCATTCCTCCAATCCGGTGTTATCTGGTAATGAAACATGTGTTATTTAATACAACTAACACACATGTAACAATCGTCATCAACCAGTACTCACATTACCAATCACACATTAAGCTTATAACTCGGAGTTGCGACTAACACTGTTCTCACTTCTCATCATCTACACGTCACTCATCTTTCATCTCACATGCTAAATTCACCATCTCCGTTTCTATACAACTCACCCATTTCACACCACACTCATCAGATGTATTATCACCAATTCCCCCATGTTTCCATACAACTCACCGCTTACATTAACACGCAAGACAGACCATTCCCTGAAGGTCAACTGTTATCGTATCGTTATCTGGTCCTATCACATGATAATATTCCAGTTGCCCGGCATTAGTTTCGCCTGCCACTTTTCTACATACCACAGACTTATCTTATAGTGACGTGCAACTGTCGGCTGCCTGTATATATTCTTACAAATGAGGTACTAGTTTGCATGGTAGGTGAGAGTCAGGTCAAATTTCAGGCAGAATTATCAATTTTGTTTAGTGAATATTAATTTTAAACCTACTGCAGGAGAAACTTTGAATGAAATGAGACAATTTGTTAGAAAATAAAATATTATCATAGTAACAACTAGGTATTTGGAATTGGCGGTTGAGATCTCTGATATTAATTATAAGTGCCTTACGGTATTTCCACCCGAAACGCTAAAAACTTTGAACGTATTTTACAAAAGTATTGGCCGCACAATCGATTCAAAGTGGTGATCCGGTAATGATTGGATGTATCTTTATTTACATTTTTTTTACTTTTTTTAAAACCGCGCATTCTAAATCGGCACACTATAGTTACCTTAGCTAGTTCCACTTCAAACTGGAAGACATCATCCACGTCAATCCTGATAGCTGTCTCGTTAGTAGTGACACCCAGGTTCTTAATGTACGTGGTCATCCTCGTTTTGTACTCTTCTCGTCGCTTTTAGGGGGTAAGAGACAGTTACAGAAAGGGTTGGAGTGATAATATTACTTTAGGTAAGGTTTTAGAGGGATCTTAATTATAATATCAATCATAAATGATGCAGCTCCGTGGATATCGCAGAAATAACATGAAAATGGTGATATTATTTCGATTTGATTTGAAACTTTCATCATATAATGAACGACAAAGTAGCATAATAAAGTGTGTTAAGGCTGCTCAAATTCTCATATTGATGGCGGGATCATAGGTTTTATATTTTATAACTAAAAAGTCACTATGTGATATGGTAAGGGATTCTAGAAACCTGGGACTGGGAAACAAGTATCCTAGCTTTTAGCTTCTTAGTCTGGGTGATTCTAGTGTAGATCCACATGATTCACTTACCTTGGCTGCCCAGGAAGCGTCGCTGGTGTAGTCCCAACTATACATGTTCAGCCCACTTGGGAACATCTGCAAATAACCAGACTTTTTCCAAATTTTACATATTAATCACAAATGTCAAGGGTAAAAGTAGTAGGACGTATTTATGGTGGGTTCTGAGTTGTAATGGTTGCTATGGTCACATAAATGGTTCTCTAGCAATTGAGTCTAAAAAGTACATCTGGGTTGTAGTTAACCTTGAGAGCAACGTCTGTAGGCTTTATCGGGTTAGGTCCTTTTGTCAAAGTCCAGAGAGTGTTAATTTCCATTTGATGGAGAGTCTTTATCCAAGTTGACAAATGGAATTTCTTTCGATCCCAAGCTGACCCCTGAAAATACGACGCTTGCTGTATAATTGGGTTGGCTGGAATAAATTGAGTGGAAGTTCGTTCAACCAATTGGTTCCTTTGTCAAATCTAATCCGTCTTCACATTGACAAATGGGATACAGAGCGATTTTGTGTTAACCAAAAAGCAATTTTGGTACTCGAGAATAAAGGAAACTATACGAAATCTATTAATTATACTGTTAATTAATTAATTATATTGTTAATTAATTAATTAGACGCGAACTGACCACGAGAGCAGGGAGCTGCAACTCGTCACCCTTGTTAATGAGATCCAGTAAAGGTTTACTGTTTGTAGCGTTCAGAGCTTTTAGGTCCATACAGCTAGCAAATAGAGCAGATGCTTCAGCCCCGTATTTTTGGGTTTTATCAGCTGCTTCCACTGACATCTGTTAATTGGGGGTAATTACTAATTAGCTAATTAAAACTGGGTCAAATCACTGTTCCTATTTAAACATTAGACTTATAAAACGGCAGTAGAAACAATCATATGATTGTATAATTAATAAGTATGTTACCCTAAGTCGTTTTGAGTGTGTTTCTGAAAGTTCCTCCCACACTGAGTAGTCCCAAGCTTCATCTTCTAGGTTATGGTGCAATTTGTATCCGCCGCACGAATATTCGTAGAAATCGCTGAGTATTAATAAATTATAAAAATGTTCAGTGAAATATTGATAATATGAGAATTTGCAAAGCATACTGCATTTCCTTTAGACACATTTATTAGTTTATTTCCTTTATAAAATATTATGAAATATAATAGAATATTATAATAGACAAATATGAGACAAATATTAGACACATTTATTAGTTTATTGGATTCCTATCTTAGCACTTTAATAGCAGGTACAGTAAAAACTAAAACCCCGATTTACCGCAGAGTTTGTGGAAAAAGGAACACCCACAGGCCACAGTCAATCGGAGTTCCGGGTTGGCGATAAATCGGGCTTTCATTGTTCACATTATGTAAGTGAATCCCGCATTTGGGAGAAAGGAAATGGCCGTGGTAAATTGGGTTTTGTGGTAAATCGGGGTTTGCGGTAAATTGGGGTTATACTGCACTATTTTTCACCAATCATGATCTACACTCACTGCTAACAATATTTTGTCTACCTGCATGCCGGATGAGTTTTGTTCAGGCTTCCTGCCACCGCTGCCGCTGTCTCCACACACGCCGCCGAGTCGCACGACGTCTGTTAATGTTATACACAATATAGTCAATTTAATAGTCAACTTATTCAAACCATACTAAGTAGTCAACATATTTAATATAGTAAAAATAGTAAAAATATTTAACCGCTTTAAGTAATTTCAACAAGTGATGTCATGAGCTGAGAGTAAGAGCGTTAAAAATATTTAGTTATTTATCATCAGTCATATATATTGAACCTTTTAACATTCAACTCAAAGTAACATTTTCCAATTCAACTACAGAGCATCACTGAAAAAGTGAGATTGGACCACTTTGGGTAACACTTTGAGCATTTACACTGCAATATATGATTAATGATGCATAACCGAATATTTTTAACTCTGACATCAGCCGTTAGAATTACTTAAAACGGTGAGTGCACTGATAGTTGTATATACTTGATAGTAACACTAATCGTAAAAATCATTATAACAATAAAGTGTTAACTTATAACAATAAATTATAACAATAAAGTGTTAACTTACGTGTCTATGACTGGATTTGTCGTGGGATATAACAACTACTGTAGTGACCAGTGCCACGTTGAGAACAATACTAAACACCACTCCTAAAACCACCAACCACCTGGGGTGGTGTTTGTTGGGGTGGTGTTTGATGGGGTGGTGTTTGCTGGGGTGGTGTTTGTTGGGGTGGTGTTTGTTGAGGTGGTGTTTGTTGGGGTGGTGTTTGTTGGGGTGGTGTGTGTTGGGGTGGTGTTTGCTGGGGTGGTGTTTGTTGGAGTGGTGTTTGTTGGGGTGGTGTTTGCTGGGGTGGTGTTTGTTGGGGTGGTGTTTGCTGGGGTGGTGTTTGTTGGGGTGGTGTTTGTTGAGGTGGTGTTTGTTGGGGTGGTGTGTGTTGGGGTGGTGTTTGCTGGGGTGGTGTTTGTTGGGGTGGTGTTTTTTTGAGGTGGTGTTTGTTGAGGTGGTGTTTGTTGGGGTGGTGTTTGTTGGGGTGGTGTTTGTTGGGGTGGTATTTGCTTGGCTGTGCTTTTTTGCTAACGAAGCATTGACGTATTAAACTCCATCACCATTTCTGTGTGTGATACTACTCGCCTCATTACATAAGACTATTTTACCCTCCAGCTTTGCTGTTAAATTATTCCAGCAATTGCACGGTAGTCCTCCTAAGTGCCTTGTGACACACTCCATTGTTTCACAAGGCCCGGGGGCTACCCCGTAGGATCACATAACCTCACCGTGGTTGTGTATGTAGCTATGTAGTATACACAACTACCATGAACCGCTTATATACATCACCATATATATACTGACCAGCAAAGTAGTGAAGTAGATTTAACATTAACAGAAAGGTATCGTACTAAACGTTACATTCCTATGTCATTAACCGGCTTGTCACCTCTTTAGTTTAAAAGGCACTTAAACGGTTGAATGTGATAGTTACGGTGTGTAATTACACAGCATATGCCCATCTAATGCCAATGTCAGCTCGGGTCCAAGACAGTGCTTACAACCTCTCACTAAGTTGTATTCAGGCCTCAGGTCCCCTGGTTAGACTGTGTGGTTTAGTCTATTGGTAATTTAATTAGATATCTTGTGTACCAATTATAATAGGATATGATGGGGATCGGTTTAAGCACAAAAGCATAAAATACGGCTTACAACCTAGATGATTGGAACCGATTATGTGATATTCCTGCTGAGATCTATCAATTCTTTAAACAAATATTTTGACTTTTAAAAGATTTTAATTTAATGAATTCCCTATCAACTATTCCCTGTTGCTAGAGTAAATGAAACCATGAAATAAGTAATTTGTTACCCTTTCTCCTGGAAGTTGACGGAATATCTGGTATTACCAGTGACATGCATCTCCGCATCATCGTTCAGAGAGGACATCCTCCTTTAATTAGTCCCGACAAATTCACCAGTTATTATCAATCAATTGAGGAAAACAAAGAGAAACTCGCGGGCTCCGATTAAAAATGATATACTTGTAGGAAAATTCGTATGACAATAAGAAGGGTAGAATACAATCAGATGAACAAATTTGCTTGTAATTCGATATATAGCACGTTTTCATTGTTCAATGATAAGGATAATTCTCCATCTTGTTTTCTGTCCCTGCTTTGAGATAAAAGTGTAAAGTTACACCAGATATAAGAGTGAAAAGTTTAAGTGTAGTCAAAAATTATTATTTAAACCATTAATTTATTATTATTAGCGCAATATATTATAATAAATATGATCTCGAACAAATAAATAAAGATAATTTACAACTAGAGCTAATGTATAAAAGTTGTTTCATGAGCGGGGGATAACAAAGAGTTAATAAAATCGGAACACGGTAAGAAGTATTAATCTCTGATTTAATCCATCGAAAGAGAAATTTAAATAATATGTTCATCCATCGAATGAAACAGTAGGATGGATTTTACTAGACTTCATTCTGATCGAAAAAAGTTTATTCACATATTCGTTCGTATAATTTATTTAGCTTTTCATCATCATTATAATCCGGTTTGCTATTTGATTTGATTTCCAATCAAAAAACAAATTGCTTTTGCACCGTGAAATTAAATCAAATACAGTTTCAAATAAATATAATATCAGTCTCAAGAATAATAGCCATGAAATATACCAAAGTGAAGTCAACAAGCAACATGAAATTAACATCAATTAGATGAAAGTAAGAAATAAGAAATTAAATAGAATCCAATATATTCAAACATTTTATCTCTCTTGTCTCTGTCATTCCTCCTCTCTCTCTCTTTTTCAAATATCTCTGAAGTGACGATAGTGCGGATGTCAGTATGTTTGTTTGTTCACCTGGCCTGGTACTCATCTTCGCACTGTCTCTTGCTGGCGGGGAGCTGGTCATGGTGGGGCGAACAGTCTCTCAGCTCACGCTTCATCTGCGGCACACTATTGTACTGAGCCTGTTCCTCGCACTTGAAGGGACTGCCTGCAGTCACGTGGGCGCCGGTCACGTGGGCGCCGGTCACGTGGGCGGCTGCTGATGTCACGTGACCAGTCACGTGGCTGTGTTGTGACGTCACGTGATGTTGAGGCTGTTGAGGTACGTGTGTTGCTAGGGTGACGATGGGAGGGCTGGAAGATGAGGTAGTCATGCGAGGTACTGGGTGGGAGGAGGAGGAGGAGGAGGGTGTTGAGGAGGTGGTGGGTGATACAGGTCGTCTAACTGGTAGGAGGTTATGTAAATTACTGCTGTTATTCTGGTCATCTCCGCTCTCCGGGCTCCCTGTCAGATGATAATACGTTAACATTGCTTTGTTAGGACACTAAACAAATATCTCTTTGTGTTTTACAGCATCTCTTAGAGTCTTAGATCTCCAGCAACCTACATCATGTACATAAAGCCTTATGTTCAGCCGATAAACATGACGTGAAACTGTAGCATCCATTCAAAAAAAGTAGAGCTCTATTCAAAACTTTGTATCACATCATCGTCCTTATTGAAACGTATGCGACCTCACAGGACCCCTACAATTCTTACAACAGTGCTGAAACAACAGCTCATTGAAAAATGTTACGTGTAAAGTGTAAAGATATATTCTATCAGTTTTCTGAAGACCAACCTGACGCCTGATCCTCATCTTCACCTTCCTTTCTGTCCCCCTTTTTCCATTTGCTTCGACGATTCTGAAACCAAACCTGAAATAAAGAAATCGTCAGATTTATGAAGGATTAGGTACGATTATGCCTTATTCGTGTGTTGTCACGTGACCTCGGCGTCAGGGAGAACGTAGCCCACGTGACGATGACGGTCCGATATGCCTCGCAGGTTATTACAGCTAGGCCGGGCGTATCAGAGCCAGTTGCAGCGAGGGTGATGGGAATGTGTACTGGCGTGAACCACCACGTGATTTGCGTGAACTATCACGTGATTTGCGTAAACTATCGCGTGATTTGCGTGAAATATCACGTGATTTGCGTGAACTATCACGTGATTTGCAGCTCTGTGTCCTGATTGGTTGGTTTTTTGTGTCACGTGGGCGTGTTTCCAGTGGTGTGATTGGCCGGGTAGGTGGGAGAGAGAGATAGGCCAGATTGGTGGTGCATGCGTCACACTCAGATCCTTTGTCCCGGAGTGTGCAGGAGACGTGCTGTCATGGTAACAGCTGGTCCTGACTAACCACTAAGAACAGGTAAAGAGAGACCCCTATAAAACTAAAATCGTAAATCTTTACCCGACATGTAGCACATCCCTAGCTAGCTGCCCGGCACCAGATGCAGGTACACAAACTTTCTGGGTACACAAACTTGGTTACAAACACCTTAGCTCGTATAACATTAGCTGGTGGGGGGGGGGGGGGGAGTGTAGTTGAGGTAGGTATGTGATGTAGTACCGAGACTGTCTGAACGCATTATAACCAGGTGAGCCATGTCAACTTCATTACATCATTCTATCAAGCTGTTTAGGCAGGTTAGCTAAAATTGCCACTTTGATTGCACTATCTTGCTGTTCACCTCATATGACACATCAAGCCTTAGCGTCATAATTATCATGTTATATACCGGGATCTTATAGACTGCCCCAGCATTCATTTCACAACGCTGCATTTTTAATTTCATTAAGCTTGTCAATAATTATTACGGTAATATGAGAGAAAGTTGTCTGGAGATGGTATTTGAGAGAAGGTTGTCTGGAGATGGTATTTGAGAGAAGGTTGTCTGGAGATGGTATTTGAGAGAAGGTTGTCTGGAGATGGTATTTGATAGAGAAGGTTGTCTGGAGATGGTATTTGAGAGAAGGTTGTCTGGAGATGGTATTGGAGGGAAGGTTGTCTGGAGATGGTACTTGAGAGAAAGTTGTCTGGAGATGATATTTGAGAGAAGGTTGTCTGGAGATGGTATTTGAGAGAAGGTTGTCTGGAGATGGTATTTGATAGAGAAGGTTGTCTGGAGATGGTATTTGAGAGAAGGTCGTCTGGAGATGGTATTGGAGAGAAAGTTGTCTGGAGATGGTATTTGAGAGAAGGTTGTCTGGAGATGGTATTGGAGAGAAAAGGTTGTCTGGAGATGGTATTTGAGAGAAGGTTGTCTGGAGATGGTATTGGAGAGAAAAGGTTGTCTGGAGATGATATTTGAGAGAAAATTGACTGGAGATGGTACTTGAGAGAAAGTTGTCTGGAGATGGTTTTGGAGAGAGAAGGTTGTCTGGAGATGGTATATGAGAGAAGGTTGTCTGGAGAAGTTATTGGAGAGAGAAAGTTGTCTGGAGATGATATTTGAGAGAAAGTTGTCTGGAGATGGTACTTGAGAGAAAGTTGTCTGGAGATGGTTTTGGAGAGAGAAGGTTGTCTGGAGATGGTATTTGAGAGAAGGTTGTCTGGAGAAGGTATTGGAGAGAGAAGGTTGTCTGGAGATGGTATTTGAGAGAAGGTTGTCTGGAGAAGGTATTGGAGAGAGAAGGTTGTCTGGAGATGGTACTTGAGAGAAGGTTGTCTGGAGATGGTATTGGAGAGAGAAGGTTGTCTGGAGATGATATTTGACACTAAATACAGTGACACCCCCTCATAAACGTAGTGACAACACCACGCTCAGCTTTACATTATAATTATACCTTCCTCGACAGGTCGGCATTTAATAATGAAATAAATATTGGCTTTATCCATAATATAAATTCACCAGTCACCATCAACACCGCGTGGGTGATAGATGTGCAAAAGTTTATAGAGTTGCTACAAAGTACAAACTTATAAACTGGCATCCCCCCCATCCCCCTCCCCTTCTCTCACTCCTCCTTCTCCCTCCTCCGCATAGCGCAGGTTACTTAACTGACCGTTTATGACGTAATTTATATTTCATCGGGGGAGCCAGAGTACTGACAACTCCAAATAAGGCATTGGCAGAGTGCAAACTAAATGTCACATGTCAAAACAGTTATGATCAGTCTAAAAGTAATCTCACCCGCCAGCTATAAATTGGCAAACTTTATTTACGGGTCACAAATCAAGCAAATTTGAACATAATCCATTAACTATTTTAAGGAATTTGATGTGATGTTCTCGTATGTTCTCTTTAAATTTGGGGACCGATTGACTACTGCGACCTCAACCGACAAGAACGTGACATGAACGCTTATATTTGAGAACATTAGATTCGAAATCCATTGGTGGTCATTGAAATGCATTTAAGAATTAAAAACATGTGTGTCTATTTACTCAAATCGCCTTGTCAGTGCAGGAGAGAAATTTGGTCAGAAAAAGACAGCATTTCCTTCATTGACTTCCACACCCAAATAAAGAAATAAGTGAGACTGCGCCAAAGTTTCCTTTTAAATTTATTGATTTCGACAGGTACTATTTTTCCACCGGTATGCCAATATTGTTGCCTACAACCATTTTTAGCGTCCCGAGATATTTCTTATAATATTACATACTATCATTAAAATATAACTATCGTTAAGATGTTACGTACCTTTATTTGCTCTTCAGTGAGTCCAAGACTATAGGCTAAACAACTTCGCTCTGTTGTACTAAGATATTTCTGATACTTGAACCTCTCCTGAAAAGGGAGACCATTGGTTAGTGTGCCAGAAGTCTCAGAAGTAAGGGTGCAGCTTTAGGAACATGTTGAACTACAAACACAGTAGACCTCTCTGCTTCAAAAGCGTTTTTTAATTGTAAAACCGAACAATCTAAACTATCATCCTGCCACATCAGCACCATTTCACTGGTAATAACATGGACAGCCTTGCTGCCAATATCTCCACTTGTGATTTTAAATATTGTATTGGCGGTACTCCAATTTGGCGGTATATCAAATAAGCGGTGTCATTTGGAGAGCCATTGGGGGCATCGTTAAGTGGCAAGCATGGAGCTGTTAAGTAACATCAATGGTGGCGCATAGCGATCAGTTGATTAATAATATTGCTGAGGAAATGTATTTAAATTACCTCTAGTTCGTTAAGTTGGGCTGCTGAGAAAATAGTTCGGGGTTTTCTTGGTTTCTTCTTTTCAAACGATAACAGTGGCACTTGAGCTGAAATGTATTCCTTTGAACGACACTTTTAAGGGGGCCGGATGGTCCTGATTTATGGTGGATCAAGGGAATTTATTTTATGGTGTCTTCTGGAAGATTTACCTGGTAACATTTTAAAGATCAATAGTTTTTGATACAGTAAAAGGTACCGGGTAAATATCACACCATAAAATTAAGTTCCATAATCAACCACATCAAGACCTCCCGGCCCCCTTCACTAAAGATATCAAATATTTTAAATACACGGCAACACATTTTTAACGCACCCCTTCCGGGTTGGAAGATAGTCACTATTATACCCACGAGCGACTATTGTGAACCCTAAATATAGAAAGCACCACCAATCACGAGTTCCTCTACAACTACAGTAAATTTTCCTCCTGCCTCTACAACTACAATAAAGTAGTCATAGTATAGTTGTGCACTAAAAATACATTACGTGATTTTATCTGAATAGCTACTGTAATACCAACGCTCTGAACATTAATCCCTTTGTTACATTCACAAAAGGAGTATTGTCCTCCTGCCTTGGCCAGCCTCTCTCTCGCACAATATTCCCATCAGTAACCATGGATAGTAGCTCCCCCTCTGTAACAACGATAACCATCCTTCAGTAACCATGGTACTATTCCCTCAGTAAACATGGTAAATAGTAACTTCCCCTCAGTTACCATGGTAAATAGTAACTTCCCCTCGTTACCATGGTAATCTCCTCTCAGTAACTGCGATAAACCCCTCAGTAACCATGGTAAGCAATAACCTCCTATCATTAACCATGATGGTAACCTCTCCTCAGTAATCAAGGTAATCTTCCCTAAATACCTTTCCCTCAGTAACCATGATGGTAACCTCTCCTCAGTAATCAAGGTAACCTTCCCTCAATATCTTTCCCTCAGTAAACATGGAAACCTCCCCTCAGTAACCATGGTAACCTCCCCTCAGCAACCATGGTAACCCCCTCAGTAACCATGGTAACTTCCCCTCAGTAACCATGGTAACCTCCCCTCAGTAACCATGGTAACTTCCCCTCAGTAACCATGGTAACTTCCCCTCAGTAACCATGGTAACCCCCTCAGTAACCATGGTAACTTCCCCTCAGTAACCATGGTAACCTCCCCTCAGTAACCATGGTAACTTCCCCTCAGTAACCATGGTAACCTCCCCTCAGTAACCATGGTAACTTCCCCTCAGTAACCATGGTAACCCCCTCAGTAACCATGGTAACCTCCCCTCAGTAACCATGGTAACTTCCCCTCAGTAACCATGGTAACATCCCCTCAGTAACCATGGTAACCTCCCCTCAGTAACCATGGTAACCTCCCCTCAGTAACCATGGTAACCTCCCCTCAGTAACCATGGTAACCTCCCCTCAGTAACCATGGTAACCTCCCCTCAGTAACCATGGTAACCTCCCTCAGTAACCATGGTAACCTCCCTCAGTAACCATGGTAACCTCCCCTCAGTAACCATGGTAACGTCCCCTCAGTAACCATGGTAACCTCCCTCAGCAACGATGGTAACCCCCCTCAGTAACCATGGTAATCTCCCCTCAGTAACCATGGTAACCTCCCCTCAGTAACCATGGTAACCTTCCCTCAGTAACCATGGTAACCTCCCCTCAGTAACCATGGTAACCTCCCCTCAGTAATCTCCCTTAGTAAGTTGCTAGGTTTTTGTTGCCAAGTTACTGCGTCTGAGACAGGACACTAGCTCCAGTACCCACACACTGATATGATCTGCAGTGCGAGTGTGTGGTATTGAAGAGGACCCCCTATAAGGGATAAACGCTGCTACCTACACCACAGCTGCGGCAGCTATGCGAGCATATTCTATACCTACATCCACTAGCGTCCACTACATTGCACCAACTAACTGTGTATTCAAGGATTGTAGTGTGAACAAATATACTGGTGTCAAGTTTTCTATGTTGTTCGACAACTATTGTGTAGATTGAGATGAGTAAAAGAGATGAGTAAAAGAAGGAGATTGTAAAAGAGATGAGTCATATGTTGAAGGGGATTGTAAAGTTTCGAAAAAATTAGCAGGAATAGACGAATGATCTTCAAAATTCTGAAAGTCACCAGTTGGACAATTTCTATGAACTTACAGAAGAATGGAGACGATGTATAAATAAGTTTTTTAAAGACACTGTGTATCGTTAGGAACACAAAGAAGCCTGTCTGAAATACTTCACAGCGAGGTTTTGAAATTTTTTGGAAAACAGTAGATCCCTTTCCAAAGATCTCTGCTAAATGATCATCAAGGGAAGGTTACCTTAGCAACTGAGGGTCAGTTACCATGGTTACTGAAGGTTAGTTACCATGGTTACTGAGGGTCAGTTACCATGGTTACTGAGGGACACCTAATTAAGAATGCCCCGACAGGAGAGTGGACAGAAAGTTGATGCTTGTCAGGTTGAGAGAGAATAATGAATTAGGGCTTGTGATGTTAGTAGTCCTCAGGGGCATTAGATCGTGCAGCCAGTTAAAATGTTTTTTGCTGGAGAAATACTTCTTAAATTGCAACCAAATTTATATTTTTCTGTCCATTCAACTTTGTGGAGCAAATTGTTACATTCACACCGCAAGTTTTCTAACTTAACCCAGAATAAGCTTTCCTTTTAAAAGAAATCAAAACGTTACTAATGAAAATTGAGAAAGCATTTTAAAGATAATTTTACACCTCTTATTTGTGTACTGTTGTTACTCTTGGTTGTGTTAAATGATTGGTTTTGTGAGCCGGCCCAGTGGCCGTGAGCGCCGTGTATAATATACACTGCACGTGCTCCGCCAGATAATTAAAACATTTGCCCAACAACTCATTACATAATGACAAGAGCACGTGCAGGTCGTCAGCGTTATCACGTGATCACCCTGGCAACCCACGTGATAGCACTTCTAACCACGTGACCAATCAGATGATGTTCTGACCACATGACACATGACCCTCAGACTGCAGTTGAGAGCGAAACTTGAGACAACCGAGAGAAAGAGTTGGGGCCCTAAGGGAGTTAGAGGGGCAGAGTGTAGAGGGTACTGTGTGTCATGTGTATTTGAACTGGTCACGTGACATTTTATACAGGTCACATGATATTGAGCAAACTCGCTCGCTCCAGAGGGAATATTGCAGTGTCAACCTAATTGACCAATCTCCAATAATCAGCTGCAATTTCCCTAATATGTTGCAAATAATGGCGTGTAAGAGTCAGCAACACACGTCACGACCACCACAGCTACCACTTCACATCTCCAACTACCTGCTCAATCATACCTTACCTCCCGTAGGTTTTATTGAAATGTCGGTACTGAAGATCGCGTCTCAAAGTATCACTTCAGACTTTACAGTTCTTTAAACTCAAAAGCACTCGGGTGTACCTTGAGATATTTTAGAATACTTAACAGTACCTCGAGAATACTATATATAAAGTACTTGAGAGTACTTGAGGGCACCTTTAGATACTATAATAGAAAAGTATATGGTACTTTAGAATATAGAATACCTTTGAGTATTCTAGAGTACCTTAGAGTACATTAGAGTACCACAGAGTACTATAAAGTACCACAAAGTACTATAAAGTATTGAATATTAATGACGGATACTCAGAGTGGACTGACAGTCCGTCTCAGATGACCGAGTACAGGTCAATAGGAACTATCTTCCGATTCACATCACCATTCCCTGGTGATCACGTGACGATACTACACAAAGGTTTGGTGTTCTGTGCTGGTTTTACTGGGTCTGTATAAATCGCCACTGCCTCCTTGGTCAGGCCGCAACTTGCGCTCATAACAATGCTCCGGCCGGGACAATGCATTCCACTCTTTAATATTTATAGAGAGGTTTAGGTGAGTCTCAGCTGCCATGCCGGCCCTATTAGACGGTCGGTACTTGTCACGTGGTAACCCTGGCAACCAACCAGAGTTTAGGTTAGTGGTCACGTGATTCCACAAAACGAATACAATAGCGATACGGTGGGAGGCATCCTCATTGTGTCAAGTGCCTTATGCAAATCACAATATTCAGCCAGAGAGCCAACATTGTACCTCATCCTCTATTTACCGAGAATAAGTAAGTAGTAACCTCAAAACAAACCTCAAAACAAACCTCAAAACAAAAGTCAAAACAAAAGTCAAAACTCAAAACATTGTTCATAACAATTCCAGAGATTAAGAAATTGTTGGTGTCCACAAAAACGCTCCGAAGTATCGAGCATTATTTCAAAACCTCGAAAACTTTCACAACGTGTCCCCCTCGAAAATTTTCACAACGTGTCCCCCTCCTCCCATTTTAAAGTGGATGAAAGTAACAGTTTACTAATGACCCCAACTCACTGTTTAGTCCTTTGTTAGTAAGGGTTCTTGGAGGTATCCAAGCGTGTTTAACCAGACCGGAGTTGAGGAGGAAGTTATTGTTACGTCGGGGTCCACCATTGTACCCCCCATCAGACACGTCGCTCTTGGGGGAATCGGGGGGCGTTTTACTTCTGTCACCACCTGGGGTAGTTCTCTGTTAGTCTCTATTATATCTTTATATAAAACTAGTTACATGTTATGTTAGTAATATGAGCCTCTCTCTCTTCAAACGTGACTCCTTAGCCCACGGAGACACAAAGATCCTATCTCGTATCTCCCACAAGACTGAACCTCAGAGGAGGTAACCTGCCTGATCACATCCCTAGTCTTTGTCTGGAGACCACCACAAAACAGCTTCACAATTTCCACCTCATCACCCGATACTCCGGACTAGTTTCCGGACTAGTTAGTTACGGCAGTTGGTCGTCTGAGCTGACGGTGAATTCTACGTCTACCAGACCTTTCTCAGAGAAATTTCACCGTTAACAGACCAAGTTTCGGGGGATTTCACCGCAAACAGACCGGGGTCCGGCTGATTTCAGTCCATCATAAAGTTACAAACAGTAATACGTAACAAGGGACATAACATTTCAGCTGCAGATAACAGATAATAAGACACTTAGTGGCGTTTAACTGCGAGCAAGTAGACAGACCATCAGATCAGATGGGAATGGTCACGTGATCAGTGAAATGGTCACGTCTGCAACAGCTTACCAGTTACATTGTATTTACAGGGATGTTCTCAAATTTCCAACAAGTTTTTTCTGTAGATTACCCGGGAAAAATCAGCCCAAACTTACCATTCCCACTGTATAGGGTTGGTGTGGGGTAAAACTTGAAGGAAGGAAAGGAAACAAAGAGTTATTTTGACTGAATCTCGAAATAAACCGAAAGTATAAAACAAAGAAACAAACAAAACAAAGTGTAGAAATAATGAATTACCTGAACGTCCGGAAGCGGTTGAATCTGGAGACTTGTTAGGGGAAGTGTTAGAGCCTGTATCTGAGTTGTTTTGAAGGTGTTGAGGACTGTAGGGAGGCATTGGAGGCAATGAGGACGTGAAACTGTTCACCGTCACGTTAGGAGGTGGAATCAGGTGAGCGTAACCGTGAGCATACAGGTTCTGAAATAGGGCACAAGGTTTAGCAGGAATGAAGGGTACAAGGTTTAGGAGGAAACAAGATTATTTCAAGATAAAAACTACTTCCCTACTTAAATAATTGTTAAGGCGAGCAAAAGAGCGGTTTACCTGTTGGTGAGCCACATTTTCATAGTAAGGCTGAGTAAAAGTGTACTTCATATCAAATGAGGAGCTTTTCAGTTCGTGATAAGTCGGAGAGGAGCTGGTGGAAACACCGGGACTGTACGATCGGTCCTGTGGGAGGAGAACTTGTTGAAGGTGGCCGACAACAGTTTCTAGTCGTAATTGAGGAAATTTAATGTATTTTCAGGGTGGGTAATTGTTCAATTCGCAACAAAGAGGGCTGAAAATCCCTCACGGACTGACATAAAAATTTCAAGGTGAGTTTCACAATGGTGACTTCAGAATCAAGACACAATTCCCTGCCCAAACTCACTTCAGCCTGGAACTCAACAGCGAACATGACAGCTCAACAAGGGGGGAGGCGGGAATAAACTCACCTCGCTGTTAGATTCTGAATACAGTCGGTCTGTTCCGTTCATACAGCTTGGGGGCATGAGGAAGCTGTCTACACGAAAGTCGGGAGCTTGCATTGTGTACCTAGATCTGAGAGTTGGGGTTAGTTTGGTGGGTCACGTGGGTAACTTTGGTGCATGTCACGTGGTCATATGCAGTCTTACATCCGGATATAAGGGGCAGGAGTGCCATACTCTATATCATATATAGGACATATTATATAGTTAATAGTATATTAATATATTAGGTAGTAACCCATATCAAGTAAATGTTATATAACTACATAATATATGATATATCTTACTATATACATATATATATATATATATTACTCTTGCCCCACAACGGATCACGGTTACAGAGGGAATTATATACAGTATATAATAAATATATTATACTAAATACTATATAGACTACTATTTACTCCCCCAGCTTACAAACGGTACGTGTGTGAGAAGTTGGTAAAACTAACCCTGTGTACAAGAATAATGAGCTATGGGATGTACTGGGCAATGAATATGGATATTAGTGACTCAATTAGGGGGAGTTGTGTGGTTGCCCCTCAGGGCACTTAACATCTCACTATTCTCCCCGCTAATGGACCCGGTGTATGGTATGTTCAAGAGAGTGTCCGACATGCTCCAGACACCGTACAATGTACACTTCTTATTGAATCCAAGATAACGAAAAGTTCTTTACTTCTTTATTTATTCGGACGTTTTAGAGGAGAAATTCCCTTACCATTAGAACTTAGACGTTTCGTAAATACTTTATTGAAAATAGGGATATATTTCTATCTTAAATTTTAGTCCAGCCGAAGTTGGGCTATAACCTTTTGATCGCAAATGCACAGTTAAAATTTATCGGAAAATAGCAAATTTAAGTCTCAACCATGTCAAACTAAAAAGTAACTTTAGTTCAAAGGCAAAAAACAGCTGTATCGATAGGTAAAGTATTAGCGTAAAAATAAGATGTCTCTACCCAGAGAATGTGGATATTTTAACCAAACAACCCGCAAACAACCCGCAAACAACCCACAAACAACCCGCAAGCAACCCACAACACTGCCGATTAATGAATACTCCAGAATTTTACTGTTTCTACAACAAAATGTCGCAACGGACCAGCTCCAAGGGTTTCGGAGACATTACTTAACAATCACCCGATTAACATAACGCTTCGCTGAGAGTACAAGTTACTACTACTACAAGTTGCAATACAATACACGTTGCTATCACGTGGGTATTAGTTGAATTGCGGAAACCTGCCCAGAAGAAGGGCCCACGCACATTCACCTGACTCTCAGCTGCATAATATTGGTGTGCAGTATGCATTACCAGGCTGAGCCTCGGGCCCTGAATAAGGGGGAAACCAGGCCGCGAATAAGGTGGAAACCAGGCCGTGAATTGATCTTAAAATAGTGGGTGATCTAGATAATCACGCGGTTCACAAAACCACACAAGAGAACCTAAAACCACGGAGCAGAAGTTTAATTGGTGTGTTTAACCGCAGAGCGTTGGTATCTTGAGGGAAACAGTTCATTACCGCATACTCAACGGTATGATTGCAAGATATCGCAGACTAGAAAGGGATCAACAAAACGGTAAATGGAGTCTCCTGCTTTTTATAAATACTTTGTTTGACAATGTAGTGTGTTTACTGCAAAGCTAAATTCTTGAATGCCTCTAGAATGAGGAACAAAATAAAATAGCAAGTTACATTAACAAACTTCAAACTACTATTACAATTGTCCCTTTTCACGAGCTACTGATCTCTAAACGACAACAACGACGACGCGACCTCGGGAATAATGAGAAATTCCCGTTTCATCGCTCTCCGCACTCCTAACAATTGGACAGGACACAACTAACTGATGAGGGAATTGTTGGAGTAACCTCATTTAAACTGTGCAGTTTCAGACTAATGAGAACACAAAGAGACAAACCCCTCAAAGAAGGTGAAATATCACATCTCTCTAGTGTACCAGAGAGACAGAGAGAGAGAGAGAGGTAGGAACAAAAGGAGCAAATACTCTGCCCTCTGAACAAATCCTTTTAAAAGGCGGGTAGTAAGGGGCCACTATGCAGTGTGCCGCCCCTATATCCCCTCTGAGATCTACACAGGTCACAGTACCGTGCTCACAATCCCATGCGGACTCTCTTGCGGTTTTACTCATACTGTACAATGTGTGTAGGTATGTCGTGTGTTAGAGTGTTTGTAGGTATGTTCATGTGTTTGTAGGTATGTTCAATGTTTGTGTGTTTGTAGGTATGTTCGATGTTAGAGTGTTTGTAGGTATGTTCATGTGTTTGTGTGTTTGTGTGTTTGTAGGTATGTTCGATGTTAGAGTGTTTGTAGGTATGTTCATGTGTTTGTAGGTATGTTCAATGTTTGTGTGTTTGTAGGTATGTTCATGTGTTTGTAGGTATGTTCAATCTTTGTGTGTTTGTAGGTATGCCGTGTGTTAGAGTGTTTGTAGGTATGTTCATGTGTTTGTAGGTATGTTCAATGTTTGTGTGTTTGTAGGTATGTTCGATGTTAGAGTGTTTGTAGGTATGTTTGTGTGTTTGTGTGTTTGCAAGTATGTTCAATGTTTATGTGTTTGTGTGTTTGTAGGTATGTTCAATGTTAATGTCTTTCTGTGTTTGTAGGCATTTTCGAATGTGTTTGCGTGTTTGTGAGTTTCACTCTCTATGAAATTTGACATTTATTGAACGAGGGATCAAGGGTAAAGATAGAAGTTGAATGAAGCTGTGTAGGTAACTAAGTGTAAACTTATTTTAAGTTACTAATTTAACAGCTAGTAAAACTGGCATATACCGTGTGAATTAACTTACAGCCGAGTTTTATTGAACTCCTTATTTAGATTAAAGTAAGATTATCTTAACACGGGACTTAAAGTGCACATGTTTTCACTCAGTCTGACAGAACATGTTAGCCTACACTTCCAAGAAGATACGATATAGTAATTGATGCCTATTAAACGTTGTTATACGACTGAACAAGACACAATGTTGAAGATAACAGTAGCTTCACAGCATATGAAGGCCGATATCTACTATCACTAGACACTGAAAACTGATCCTCCGTTTAGTTCACTTTACCGTCACTCGATGCTCGGGATTAGCTGCACATAATCACAGTAACAAGCTCAATGAACTAATTAGAGACCATGTAAGGAGTAATTAGATAATAAGATAATTAGACCTGTCTAGGACAGGGCAGAGAAGCGGCATGTCTTCCAGCCTGCACTGCTCATCTTCCCTAATAGGGCATAATGCCTGCTAATGGGGAAAACAAAGTGTACACACTAATTGGTAATTGTATCCAATACTAATACGTAGTACTGCCCAGCTGCAGGTAAAGAGTCGTTATAATGCACTCACTAATACTTACTCAGATGGCCATTAAAACTGAATTTGGCCCAATTATAGCGCAGGGAATGTGGCTCTAAAGTGGGGTGTACGAGAATTTATCCTCCGATATTAATCTCACAACGGTTCACGTCACAAAATTAGGCCTGAAAAGTTATCACACTTAACCATAACCATAACCATAACCATAACCATAACCATAACCATAACCATAACCATAACCATAACCATAACCATAACCATAACCATAACCATAACCATAACCATAACCATAACCATAACCATAACCATAACCATAACCATAACCATAACCATAACCATAACCATAACCATAACCATAACCATAACCATAACCATAACCATAACCATAACCATAACCATAACCATAACCATAACCATAACCATAACCATAACCATAACCATAACCATAACCATAACCATAACCATAACCATAACCATAACCATAACCATAACCATAACCATAACCATAACCATAACCATAACCATAACCATAACCATAACCATAACCATAACCATAACCATAACCATAACCATAACCATAACCATAACCATAACCATAACCATAACCATAACCATAACCATAACCATAACCATAACCATAACCATAACCATAACCATAACCATAACCATAGCCATAACCATAACCATAACCATAACCATAACCATAACCATAACCATAACCATAACCATAACCATAACCATAACCATAACCATAACCATAACCATAACCATAACCATAACCATAACCATAACCATAACCATAACCATAAGCTAAAAACCTTGCTTCAATTGGCAGAGGTGCAATGTCGAGGGTGTAATGTCGAGGGTGAAATATTGAAGGGTAAAATTTGCCCCAGAGCCGGAGAAGAGGAATAGTGGTGCTGCTTGAAGCCTGATGGGATTATTTAATATTACCAGCACCTAATGGGCTTCTTCGTCGACAAGCAATCCTCTAAACACATGACAAATAGTGAGGGATTGCACAAGTAAGGGTGCATCACATCAACCTGTGGAATCTTCTCACGTTTTCCTGTCAGCCAGGGTTACACGCTTTTAATGGCTGTCACTTCTCAGCCTGTCGCTGATCGCTCAGGATGAATCATTATTACGACTAAAATTGAGATCAAGATTGGGGTTTGAGTCTTAGTAGGATGAACTGAGAGTGTTTCGTGTGATGTGTGAGGAAAAGAGTGTGATGTTTTGAGTGATTTGTGGGGAAAGAATTTGATTCTTTGTGTGATATGTGAAGAAAGAGTGTGATGTATTGTGTGATTTGTGAGGAAAGAGTATGATTTTTTGTGCGATGTGTGAAGAAAGAGTGTAATGTTTTGTGTGATGTGTGGGAAAAGAGTGTGATATTTCGTGTGATTTGTGGGAAAGAGTGTGATGTTTTGTGTGATTTGTGGGAAAGAATGTGATGTTTTGTGTGATATGTGAAGAAAGAGTGTGATGTTTTGTGTGATTTGTGAGGAAAGAGTGTGATGTTTTGTGTGATGTGTGAGGAAAGAGTGTGATGTTTTGTATGATTTGTGAGCAAAGAGTGTAATGTTTTGTGCGATGTGTGAGGAAAAGAGTGTGATGTTTTGTATGATTTGTGGGATAGAATGTGATGTTTTGTGTGATTTGTGGGAAAGAGTGTGATGTTTTGTGTGATGTGTGAGGAAAGAGTGTGATGTTTTGTGTGATTTGTG